CCGGTTCGGGCTGCGCTGCTCGTCCCGGGAGTCGGCCGTTGCCGCCGGCGGTCTGGGCGCCGTTCGGGAGAAGAAACCAAAACATATGTTTTAAACTTAAAAACAAAAAGATCTTGAAGGGGTACACGGACATCTATGGAAAAGCTTAAGGCCCTCTGTGAGGGCCTCGTTGCAGGTAGAGCCCAAGCGCGAGGGCTGTCCTGTCACGAGACAGACTTTACAAAACCCTGTGGAAGCCCAGTGCCTCTTCAGCCAGGTGGACACATTCCCGTGGAAGTTTCCGCATGGGGATTTTTGTGCAGTCCCACACATGGGTCAAAGCCTCCCTGCCTCCCATCCTAGCAGAAATTGGTCTGTTCTGCCAAAAGCAGCACTCAGATGTGAGGTTGCGTCACAGCCTCCCCCGAGGTGCATTCCTCGAATTTGCAGAGGGGCAGATTGGCGAGGACAAGTATAATTTACAGTCACCTTGTTATCTTGGGTGAAATTTAATTTTTAATACTGTAAATCAAAGTAAGTGGCATCTAGATTGCGAGGGCTGTCCTGTCACGAGAGAGACTTCTCAAAACCCTGTGGAAGCCCAGTGCCTCCTCAGCCAGGTGGACACGTTCCCGTGGAAGTTTCCACATGGGGATTTTTGTGCGGTCCCACACATGGGTCGAAGCCTCCCTGCCTCCCATCCTCCTAGCAGAAATTGGTCTGTTCTGCCAAAAGCAGCACTCAGATGTGAGGTTGCGTCACAGCCTCCCCCGAGGTGCATTCCTCGAATTTGCAGAGCGGCAGATTGGCGAGGACAAGTATAATTTACAGTCACCTTGTTATCTTGGGTGAAATTTAATTTTTAATACTGTAAATCAAAGTAAGTGGCATCTAGATTTCATCAAAGTTCACTTCAAAATTGACAGGGATTTTTTTTAACCAAGATATTACAACATAGTTTGATTTCACTGTGGGAAAAAAACTCCTACTTAGATATTTTAAGAAGTTGATCTTTTTATTTAACTGGCCTTTCCACTCTGTATCTGGGCCTGCCTATTAGTCTTAGCTGGTGGGATTCGCTTTAAAGACGGTTGCATAGACACAACCTTTTTTTGACATTGAAGGACTCTCCTTAAGAAGTATTTCCCAGTTTTGATGAGTGACAGTATGACCAATGTCATTCCACCAGGTTTTCAGATCCAGGAAATGGGAAATAAAATGTTGTTCTAGGTTATAGACTATCGTATAGTCAATGTTTCTACCTTTGGATGGAATTGCAGGAGTTATTTCTCAGTAAAAAGATGGTGTTTTAATAACACAGCAGCATCACTTATGCTTTAGAGATGAAAAAGCCTGCATTAGTTTTTCATAGTGTATTCCTCACAAAGGGCTTCTGCTTTCCCTTTTCCAGCTCCATAAATTAATGCTCAAGCTGCAGCCGACTGCAAGTGACTTGTATCCTAGCTCTGTAGGTCGCTCAAAGGCCTCTGGACGAAACCAGCGCCGCGTTTCAGTATGGAGGTGGGTGCACGGGAGGGCTGCACGGAGCTGGGAGCTCTCCCTGCGCGTGGGGGTGGCTGTGCACAGGATTACACTGCCCAAGAGGATTAGGGCTCGGGCAGACGGGCGGCTGGGGAGCAGCAGGAAGGGCTGAGCCCATCCGGGCACCGGCTCCTGCGTGGCTGCCTCGTGCGGGGCAGCCCGGGCAGCAGAGCTTATCAGGGGGAAGAAGCAGCTGCTCGGGAGGGAGCTGCACGGTACTTTGCATGACACATCCTTGGGTAAGCACTCCAACAACCCTCCCCACCCTGCACCAGCCTTCAGCTTTGTTTTTCTTTTCTCGTGACAGAGAAGTAATGATCCGGAGGCACGTACCAGTTGGATTTGCAGAAGTTGGCACTCTGGTTCAGCTCGAGGTGATGGCACTGTGAGTAGCCCAGGGTTTTCCAGTGGGGAGCACTGAAGAACAGGGGCTGAGAAGCTCTTCTGTAGTCAGTGCAGGGCTTGGCGTGGTGGCTTTGGCAGGAGCAGCACCTGGAAGGGGATTAAACCTCCCACGCTCGCTTGGACATCTAAAACCATTAAATGTGCTTGAATTACAAGGGTGTGCTTTCAGACTGAGGGCCATTTTGCATAGGAATTACATATTTGAACGATTCTAAACTACTTTCTATTACACAGAGATACACCATTTGTAGAAAGAATTATAAATAAGTGTGTTTCTCCTTTTTTTCACAATTTAGGGGTATTTCTATAAGTGTGTTTCTCCTTTTTTTTCACAATTTAGGGGTATTTCTACAAAAAGATTAATATAGATCTAAAAATGGACCATTTGATCCAGCTACTACTGTCCCTTCCACATAAACCACTTACTTTTACACTACAGTTGTTTAGTTTAATCTGGCACTAACCCTGTACTAAGATGTAAAGGTTACTTAATTAATATAGTTTCTATACTATAAAACATGCAAAAGCATTTTTTCTTGAAATGAAATAACAATGTTAAATTCTATACCTTTAGCAAACTCAGTCAAGTGCAATTCACTGATTAAAGTTTACTGTAGGCTCAGCTTTAATTAAATAAGACAAAACCCTGACAAACATAGATACAGGAGATTTTATTTAACATTGTGTACAAAGAAAGGCTACAAATGCCTTGAACTTTTTTTTCCTTTTTTTTCCCCAAATACAGTTTTGGATCCCTTTTTCGTAGTTTATCTCAAAAAAAAATTCCCCCCATTTTTCCTTTTTTTTTTTTCTTTTTTTTCCTTTATTTAGGCCTAAACCTGAGAGATGTCTAGAAGTACAGTTTCAATAGCTTCCAGTATTAAACTATTAGAATTAAGTTTTCTTTTCTAAAATGAGAGCACTGAGATGATGAAGCACTAACAGCAGTATAAAATATCAAAACAGCCTCCCTAACATGATGTTAAAGTAATACCAACAATACTAATTCTGATGAAACCCCAAATTATCCAAACAATAAAAGGTTGTTTTTTTTCTATACTTAATATTTTAGCACTAATTATATAATTTAATTGTATTTATATTTAAATAAATAGTCTTATCTCCCTTCCTTGGAATTCTTCATGGATTATAAACAGTTGCAACACTAGAGATAAGAACAAACCACACAACTTGCATAGCAAGAAAAGCATAGGGGTTTTGGGGGGGGGGTTGTTATACACGGATAGGACAACATTTCAGAGTGTTTCTGCTACCCTCTTCTTGCTGCCTTGATAGTTCATCATAATTTCTAACACTGATAGCCCAGCTCCTGAAACATCTGTCCCTACACAGGCAAGTTCCAGTCTGGATTCCAAATAGATCACCATTACTGAGCAAATTTTACATTTTTTATATGTTAGGAAGAAGCCCAGTATGAGATTTCTCCTGGGCTGTGAGATATAAGCTATAAAGAAGGGATCAGGATGTGAATGCATTAGGAGAGGCTGTTCATAATTAATGTCCTTCCGCTGTGGCAGCTTTAGTATTATGACCTATATTTTAAATAATTTTCAGATATGGGTCAATTTTCAGTTGACAGTTTGTGTGATCTGTAGAGTTACTGTAGCGCCAATTTCTCTATAAATGGGACTAAAATGCAGGAAACTTGAGCTATTTATGTAGAACGGCATTTGATGGTGCAATTAGGCACAGTGCAGAGCGAGCTGGACGAGCCTCTTCCCAGCAGTGCCCTCCGGCCTCTCCCAAACTGCCCCAGGGGAGACGGGTGCGTCTAAGAACTGAGGCCATCTGTTTATTTGCAGGCTCGAGGGGTTGTGGCCCCTGGCTGGGGTAGCTGTGGAAAGCAGCTGTATCCTCTCTCCGGGCAGACGCTGTGTGGTACGCAACATGCTCTTCTATACGTCCACTGGGATATAAAGTTACAATATAAATCATTCTGCAGAGGAGGGAAATGGTTAATCTGTGGAACCTCTTGGATTCACCGAACATCTTGCTAGTGGGCAAAGAGACTACAACACTTAAACTAACAAAAGCTTAGAGTAGGAAGTCTAAAAAGTCTTCTATTCGGGTGAACTATTTTTGACAAAAGTATTAAAACATGACTGCAGTTAAGACAAAAGCAGTAGAGCAAACATTTCTGGTAGACTTGGGCACTGTGCAGTCACGCTCATCTCCAAATAGGCCTAAATTGGTGTAAAGAATAGACTCTTACATATCTCACAAAACAGTCATACAAGCCCAAGGTAGGTCTATTCTGCACCAGAAGGCTGAAAATTTTCTTATCTCTAGGATTAGCTCAGCGATAAACCCCAGTGTGGCAGTCTATACAGTAGGGAAGCACACAAAGTGGTTTCTGGTGGAAAAGGAGGAGGTCTTTCTGAGGGGTCACACATGACAGTAGGAAATTATGACATGGAAAATTCAGACAGGTGACCTGCCCTGTCTATATTTATACAATAGTTTCCTGCAATTCTGCCATACAATGGTAATACAAAGGAAATTAACAGCTGAGGCAAACTAATTCATTAATACACTCTCTGACTCTTGGCAATTACATATACATACTTGCTTGACCTATAAGACTGGACTCTAGCAACATCCGTGGAAGGAGGTGAATCATGACATCTATACTCGGTGGGCTTTGGTACTAGTATCTCAGCTGTTTCATCATCAGAACATGTTGTGATATTTTATCCCCATTGCCCAAAAGTTGCCTCTTTCAGTACAAACTAAAATCTACCTTTCTGATTCTGTTAGCTCTTCCCTTTTTTTGTGGTGTTGATACAGCTGCTGTACTATATAGATTTCCTAGTGCTCCTCCCTAGCTGGCGACTGAAGAAATAGAAACAGCAAGTGCTAAGCCTTGCTTTCACTGCACTGTAAACTGAGTAGCAAAAAAGAGGGATTACAGCACATCAGAACTGGGAGGCTTCAATAGCTGAATTCCTGAAGTTCCTGTATTAATGTTTATTTACTGGTGATACATTCTTAGCTCAGTTATCCAGAGCATAGGCCATCTTCTGGAACTTGGGAGAATTCTTGGAAGACCAGACCATGTGATGTGAATTATGATCTGAACTATTCTTTTTTTCCATTTGTGTTATTTTTTTCTTCCCTAAAATCTTTCTAAGGAATAGTTATTAAATGTAAGTGCTTCCTTTAGCATTTCCATTGCTTTTAAGGGCAATGAATATACTTAGTTGAATAAATTTGGTAGACTAAATCTGAACATTTAATTCATTCTACCTTAGAATGGAAAATTCCTAATGCTAACACTAAGGCTCCAGTATCTCAGTTTTACTTACTCTTACCCTATGTTAAAGGAAGTGTATGGTATCAGACTTATTTTTCAGATAACAGTGCTATGAGAATGTTAAATTTTACAAAGAGAGTTAGCTGGACTATAAATTTAACAGGGCATAAAAATAACTCACCCACACTAGGAATTCGCTAAGAGTAATTTGATGTTATCTAAGAAACTGCCCTTTCTAATACTATTTTTCTTCAAGGAACAGAATCAAATGCCTAAAACTTAGAAAGAAGGTCTTCTATTATTACAAATCCCTGACTTCTAGAATTAAAAAAAATGAGAAAAGGTAGAGGATTTTGTTAAAATATTTCCAATTTCTTAATAAATTTTCCACAGTAAGAACGCCACATCTGGTAATGTTACCTTAGCAGATGAGTAGGCAGTGAAACAAAGGAAGGAATAACCAGTGAGGAATCAGAGTTGGTTTTTCTCCATCAAATTTTAAGCATCGTTAAAAGCCACGCTGGTCAATTTACATTTTATACATACTTCAAAGAATGGCACAGCAAGAGAAGTGATCACGTTGTGATGCCTTCCAGTGTTACAGAAGTGATGAGCAGATTTGGATTTCCATTTATGTTTTACAGAACAGTACACGTTTAAATAAAGTCACAGCAAATTAACATAAACAACTGTAAAACAGATTTTTGAAACAGGTAAAATGAATAAACTGTAAAAATACTGCATCTCCCATAAACATCTTCTACGGCTCCACCACCTAGTGGCCAACAAAAAAGTTGCAACTTTGCTTCGTACGGTGCATCCTGATGCCTGGAACTTAGCAACTGAAGGCCAGGATTGAGGCAGGCAGGGGGCATGAGCAGTTAGCACAGTCAATGCACTACTGTATTCTGCCCTTAGCCGATAAATTACAAAATAGCAGCATATTGAATAGAGCCTGAATTAGCTTAGCTACTACCTCGACTTCTACTGTTGTGCAAGAGTAAACACCAGCAGCATTTTAATGGATGTTTCAATTTGGTTTCAGACACTCCCTTCCCATACAAAGCACAAACAAACACAAAGCTGAAACTGATCCAGGAGCTGATATTTCTTGTCCATCTTTGAAAAAAATGTCCCATAGTTTGCTTCATTTAATATTTACTGATTTGAAAAAGTATCAGTGTTTTAATAAAATCCATGAGATTTCAGATTCCTGTAGCTGACAGCTACATTTTTAGAAAGGTTTCTCCAATATACTGAAAACTAAGAGTATAAACTCCCACTGCACAATTTATTTTAAATGGCATTTTTTATTAGTTTGCTCTTATGTTGCTTTTATTGTACCTTTTGGAAGAGTTAGGTTTTCTCACACAACTGACGGGAATATTAAGAGTACAAACCAGAAGGCCTTCTCTAAAGCCAAGTTTTGCAAGTCCCTTTGTTTAAATATGATAAGGCTTATTAAAACAAAGTAAAAATATATATAAAAAAAGACACAACAACCCTGGGCAAAGAATATACAAGTCTTTTGGAAATTCTTAATTTCTGAAAATATAAGTCCATTTGAAAAACTTAATTGAAAAACTAAATGAAATCCAAGAAATCAATTCTCATTCAAATCATTCCATGATCTCATCATCAGCAGTAAGATGTGCTATTTTTTCCAGCCCAAAATTACCAGCTTTGGGGAAAACATACTTAACAGAAATAATTAATGGGTTACATTAAATTAACTTTTCTTTCCCTGATCCACATGCCTGCATGTTAGATAACGTTACATTAAAACTGAGCATTGTAATGAAAAACTAAAAGCAAAAACCTCTAACAGTAACCAAAGCAAAGCATTTTTTTCATGGTTACATAATATAGATCAGTAATTTAATATTAAAATTAACGTCCTATATAAATAAAAGTAAAAAAGTTGGGCAAAAGGAAATTGGCACAGTCATTAAGGTATTGCTTTCCAGTTTCAACACTGCAAAGAGCAGCCACAGATTCTAAACACCAGCAGAAAAAGGTTACCACCTCAGTACACGGTGTAGTTTGTTTTTTCCCTTTTAAACAAAGTCACCAGCAGTGCTACTGCCTCAAACACGTCAGACAATGACTTGGAGTGGGTAGGTGGGAAGCGAGAGCAGAAGGACCATTGCAGAACTGCTACTTAAAATGAGAAAAATACATAAAAACAAAACCATAGAGCGTGGTTTACTGGTCTGCATGACTCTTCTTGAGTCAATATTTTTCAGGATTGTGACTATTTTTTTACCTCCAAAAAGGCAAAAAAAACAAACAAACAAACAAACAAAAACTTCAAGCCTTCAAAAGGGTTTGCCTTTGTTCCCTCCCACCCCACAACAAGCACCTCTTAATATAAACATTTTTTTCTGTTTTATGGGTTCAAAAGCTGGAATGTAGTGGAAATACATATAAGAGAGAAGGAATTTCTAGTTGTACATTACATTACAAAGAGGTTTTCTCCCAGACCTAAGGAGGGAAGGATACTAAGCAATATTAAATTCCTATAAGAATCCTTACAAAGCATGCAAAATGTTGATATACTCACAAAGTTGAAATTTATATTTGTTTCTTTTTGAATTTGCAACTTCACAGTACAATAATTTCTAATATAATGCAGCAATCAGAATTCCATTGATTACAAAATAATTTCCTTTATTTATTTTCTCTCTGTTTGAAAGACACCTTTGCTCTTTTTTTCTTTTTGTTTTAATAGAGAGGTTTCAGACCACTCAGCAGAAAATGAGAATTTTTGCTAAAGAGCATACTAGGGTTTGCTTCCTTTGTGGTATTTCCCCTCAAATGATCTTGACAACCCTAACTGCACCAATTACTGCTTTTAAAATCTGTCCCTCCCTCCTCTTCCCCATTCAGATTCCTTCCCACGTCTTCAAGCTGCACTTTTCTTCTCGCTAGGATGATGGTGGATGGTTGCTGCTCAATGGATGCTGCATAGCTGGGTAAGAAGCACAGGGGGATGGAGTCGTTTATGAAATGGGAACATCCCCACAGCCCCGGATACTTTTGGCACAACTGCTTCTTGACCAGAAGAGTTTCCTCTGGTCTGGACACCAGCAGTTAGTTTGTGTGTTCAGTTCTGTAGACAAACACTGCTGCCCTTTATGCCTAGGTAGCCCCAGTGGCTTTACTTGTGTTAGGCAGGAAAATGTAAATTTGGTATTTGGCTAGACCTTTTGTACTGCTGTCTGTAGTTTCATAGAATTTTTTTCACTGCTCTTAATTAAAACAAGGTTGGAATTTCTGGAGAATACACATGCATGCTACTTCCTAGATTGTCCAAAAAGTACATTCTGACACATCAAAGTATTTGTATCTATCAGAAAAAGACTCAGAGAAGCAATGTATAAAGCCTCCAAAAATTCAAGTATCAAAAAAGCTATTCTGATAAAAGTTTGGGGTGAGTAGCCAGCAAAACCAAGAGCCTTTTTTTTGTGTGTGTGTCTGCAAATGCTTCAACTATTCTGGAGAGACAACTTTTTTTTCTTTGGAGAACTGGGAAATAAAAGCCTCCTAAATTAATTTTCATTAGGTTTGGCAGGATATAAGGAATTCAGCAATCCTCTCTGGATAGTGCTGCCCCTGCTTTTATACACAAACAGCAAGAGAATCATAAAGCACTGAGTCTAATCCTTCCTGCCGCTTTCTAATTTGCTGCGTGTATTTACAGTGTCATATGGTTGGGTCTGGCTCCCCTAATGCCAAAAGCTGTAAGAAGTGTAAGAGAGGCAAGAACAGGGCATCTCCTTCCCTGGAGTCTGTAGAGATTTGCAAGGGAAGGGGTGGGTGAGACAAAAAATTAAACAAATTCAAAAAACCAACAGTTGTAGTTGTACACAAAACTTCCTTTTGTTTCTTTACAGCCCTGTTCAAATCAAGACTTGAATTTCTGAGGAGGGAATCTTAGATCCCAGACCCTTCTCTCCCCTCGCCTCTAAATACTATTTTTTTGTGGCCTAGAACAGTACTTTAAAAACATCAGTTATTAAAGACACAGTTGTGATATATCACTTTATCTCCCGCTCACCCCAAAAAGGGGTATCCTATCAAGTGGTCCGTAGAAATCTTGACGTTTCTTTATGATAAATTAAATCCATAAAATGAGGAATACCTTCTGTCACATTCCCAACAAGAATAACAGCCACACTCTGTGGTGCATTTGTTCAAGTGTCTGTTGCGCCTTCTTGTGGAGATCCTGCTCAGCTCCATCTCCAGCTCTGCTTTTTCTGATTCCACTGATCAAAGGTAGAGAGATCTCTCTCCTTTTCCTTCAGCTTGTCTCTGGTTTGCAAACAGCAGAAGCACTGAGGGCCGTGTATCCCCAGGATGGGAACCGGCAGCAATGTCTGAACAAACATCCATCCTCTTTCTCCTCAAGAGCGGCCGGTTCGTGCCAAGAGCAGTTTCTCGAGTCCTGTCGGTGCCACAGGTACCTATACCTCTGTGGAAAAGAGGATGCTTTGCCTCTTGCTGTCTGGGGTAGGGATAGTCTCTAGCTGCAAGAAGTACAGAAGGACTTGAACCTGGAAAGAAAAAGAAGAAAGATGTAATAATAAAGCCCTGTTAACTCATTGTCGTCCTAGTTATTAGAGAGTTGGCAGATATGTTTAAATCCCTCTCCATAAGAACTTCTTGCGGTTACGTATTGTTTTTTAATACAGCGTGTAATACAGACATGAATATTAAAACTTGCAGTGCTTTACAAATACTCTTCTCAGATTCCACGATAGCACAATGCTGATGTCATTCCACCTCAGTGGAAAAAAATCTGTTTTACTACTTGCTATTATTTAAACAAGAAAAAGTAAGAAACAGCCTGGGCAGCAACACAGCCTCCCCATTGAAACTGTGTACCACCTTCAGAAGGCAGCAGTGGCCAAAGAAATCAGCCTCTACCATGATACTGGCACATGTAGGATCTTACCTGGGACATGACTTCTAGTGACCAACTATCAGTCATCGTTATAGGCTGGGTAGGGTTGGCAGGGATTTTACTGTCCTTCTCGGAAGGTCTCAGCAGCGTTGGTCCAAAGACAGTTGCAAGGTTATGCAGGGACATCTTGTTAATGCTTTCCCTCTCAGCAACCCTGCAGAAAGAAACGCTGGTCAAGGAGGATCTTTTCAGATAGGTGAGCTTCAAAGGGTCTGTAAGGAAGAAGCTGTATTTGCTCCTTTTGTAAAAAGATTTAGATACAGACATTGAATCAACCAGTATCCCATATGTGTTTCAATTTATTGTATATATCAATAATAGCTCAGTGTAACAGCCACAGTCTGTAGGCCCTCTATAGACATAGCTTAAACTTGGGATAGGGACTACTGCTTCTTGTCTCAACAGACAAATGTGGGTTTAAGGAATGCTTCTTACCTGATTTTATAAACAAGTAACCAAGGCATACATTAAGAAAGTTGACCAAGAGCAGACATCTTTTTAAGACAGGGCTCATGAATCCTTAAATGCTACCGAATCTTTAAGATTTGTATTAAAACCTTTCCTAATCATTTTCTCCAGATTTGTCCCAAGGCAGATGCAGTTTTGCAGAATTGTTGCTGCAGGAATTTGCATTTGTACTAGAAAAGCTGAGGCTTTTGGTACCCCTTCCTCCAGTTCTAATCCTTTTTGGTTTCATGGGAATGGAATCCAGGATTTAGCCGCTCACCAGAGTATGAGACAAGACTCATCTGACCAGTGTTTACATTCATTTGCTTGATTTAGTGCATATTTAGGGAAAGGCTACCCCTTCCAACTGAAGGATCCACATATTACCTTTTTAGATGGTCCAGAAGGAAAAGGAATGTAACAAGGTTGGGTTCTGGAAGCGATAACAATAGATTCAACATACAGCTTTCCTTTGCAACAGGGTCTGAAAGTGCTACAAGACAGAAGATCAACGAAACATCACCAAAACATCAACAAAGCATCACCAGAGGCAGCGAGTAAGAACTTGACTGACGGATTTCCCAGACCAACAGACATGGATGCTCCTTAATGGACAGCAATTGGATCACAGGTTGCAAGGTCAGAGTTGCACATCAATACCTCACAGATATTTTTTTTTTCTCTTTATTTCATAGATGTGTAGAGAATTCTTTTCTCTTAAGCAGGTTAAGTGCTTTCAGGCTTTTAACCTTTGGTTTTTTTTTCCCCTTCTGCATCAAGATACGAGAAGCTATATCCCCTCCAAAGAAGACCCCTCCAGAAGATTAAATAGGGCAAATAATATACACAGCCTCCACAAATAGGCTGTTGTTCTATTTTTAACTTAATCTTCAGGGAAAAAAAAAAAAAAAAGGGTTTTCAGCCTCTAAAAGCACAGCAATTGCCCAAATCAAGCAAGGGGCAAGTTTACATCTTGTTTCTGAGCTGCATCTCACCTCCCTTACAGCATTCCCAGGCTTCTGTCCAACATTATATATATGGATATATGGCTTTTCCATTGTTTTAGAAGCAGCCTCCTTTGAAAGAGCTTTCTTTTTTTTTTTTTTTCCCTCTTTTTTTTTTTTTTTTTTTTTTTTTAAATACAGGCTCATATTCTCAAAGGTTATTTTTGCTAATACCTACCAATTCCCTCAGCAAAGTTGGGATACAATTCATCTGTGAAGAGGGGTTCAGGCAGTTCTCGGAAGTAAAGTTTTAATGTGCCTGCAATGGCATTAACATCCATTTCACTCATCATCACTGACACGTCTTTGTTATCTGAAAGGGAAGAGGAGTCACAGGTAAGGAAGCAGCTGCCCTTTCATTCACTCACTCTTTTCTTTCTCTGTCTCTCTCTGTTTCTCCTTCCTCTTTGACCAAGGAGCAAAGAGTCTTCCTGTTTACATTTTTGCAGCTTAAGCAAGCAGCTCTGACAACTGAGGAGTGCCACGGAAATGATTCAAATCAGCAAGAGGGAATTTAGCACAATCCAGGATTCATTCTGCTGTGCCAGCAACCTGTGCCTGATCTGGAACAAGCCCTCCTTGACTTTATTTATATGCATTTTAACTTTCTGTTAATGACCACAGTTGTCATTCCAATTCCCTGCCTCTACAGCTTAGAAGAAGAGAGTCTGAGGCTGTCTAACTCCCCACTGTGTGTAGCTGAAGTACACAGGCAATTCAGGGCTCACATTTCAGTTTTGCTACCATAAAAAACACCACAACCAACCTTCTTTCCCCAAAACAAACAGACCAACCAGCAGAGCCAGCCACAGTTTCATGAAGACTAGTGCAAAAATGTCATGTATTGCAAGTGAAAAAGAAGCGTTATTATAAAATACAAAAAGGAAGAAATTTCACACACACAAAAAAGTAATAAAAATGCAGGGCGGATGAATTCAGGCACTTGGCATAGGCCTTGTGACCACTTACATCAAAAAACGGCTCAGCTGAGGCCTCAGTGGTGCCTAGACCATTGTGTGGAGGCTGAAAGTAGGGCAGAATTTCATCTTTAGTACCTCAGGGATTTCGTTTTGTTTCATGGGACTGATCTTGGATGCCTTCTGGAGCACACATGTCTTTCCTTTGACTGTGGCACCACTATGGAGCCCTTTCCTGCCCAAGACCAAAGAAGGCTTCACAAAGGTTGGTAAAAATTATCTAATTTTATGATCTTCTCACACCAAATGAGTCACGGACTTATGAAAAGAATGCAGGAGCCCTGAGCACAGTAGCAGATGCATCGCTCAGTACAAGGATCCACCCCACTGAGTGTCTCAAGTTAGAGCTGTAGCTGAAGAGCACTAATAAAACATACAGCCAGGGTGAAACAATTCTGCTTGCACAAAAATCTCTACCTCCTACTACTTCTTGGGGCAGTTATGATTAAAAGTGGCACCGCAGTCTCTCCCTAGTGTGCAGGCACATCAGACACAAATACTTACTGACATCAAAGGCGGCTTTCAAAGCCTGGATGTCGGTGGCGACCCCGGAGACGCGGTAGATGCCCACCTCCTCCATTCCTCGCCGCTCTATCTCCTCCACGCACTGGCGCACGATGTAGGGCACCTTGGATCTCTCCCTCCTTAGGAAAGCCAGAAGCAAGAGTTGAGGATGGACCTCACCACCAACGCCTGTCACCCCAGCCAGCCAGGCTGGCTAAAATAAAGCCCTCGCTTTGCTGAGCAGAGCTCTTCTGAAGGGTGGCGTGAGGGAAGGTCAGAGCAGACAGTCAAGACAGCTGAGAAGCGTTTCTAATATTGGAGAGGGTTTTCTGAGTATCTCAGGGTTGGCTGTTCTGCAGCTGCCCTGGGTGCTGGGGCTTTTAGCTGGGTCCTGGCATTCCCAGTGTTTGCAGCTCTGGGCAGGTAACCAGAGGATTCCCAAACAATCCTTGGATACATAGCAACTCTGTTGCTATCAACTTAATGCAATTCCATAGGGAGGAAATACCACATTTCTCAAACTATTTACCAGAACAAACAGGTTTCTTCTGGCAAACATTCCATAACAAAAGATCAGGGGTTAAAATAATACTGCAAGATCCAAAGAACGTGAACATTTCCGATTATGGAAAGGAAATATTGTTGTTCGGTGGCTCTGGAAATTTGGGACCAAGTCAGCTAACTATGGAGTAAAGGGCAAGGAGAGGAAAAGAGCATTTCCAGAACTCAGAAGATTTCAATATGCTGGAAGCAGTCACTCTGCATTGCAATCTAGTGCGTGCTGTTGCATGCAAAAAATGAAGCTGGGAGAAGGTAAAGTCTCTGCCTTCTGCAGCAACAGCCACCTGCCCCACTCATCAAGTGAAGGAGAGTGTCCTGGCACATCTGCTGCTGGGTAAGGACAGGTGCAACCCACTGGCCAAGTATGTTTTTTAAAAAAGCAGATGTGACCCATGAGCTCACTTGGTGACGATAGCAATCTTGACCCCAAAGACCCCTGTCTGCTTGCGGGACGGCATCCTTTTCAGGCTGAATTCCCGGCTGGTAAACTTCACCGACAGCTTCACTTCAACCTGGGAAAAAAAAGGGCTGTTATATTTCAAACTGTATTTTCTTCTCTTTTCTTATCCTGCACTGAAGAGCAAAGAAATAAAGCCCATACGAGGTGTCAAAGAAGCACTATTTTCTGTTCTCTGCACTTACCCCGTTCATTGAGATGACTGTGCGCTGCCAGTCTTTGTCCTGTAATGCCTGTGGGTCCAGCTGAAAAACAGGAGAGTTTCCCATGAGCTAGAAACAGGCTTCAAAGAAAAGCAAGTAGCCTGGGAAGACTTTGAGGCAGGAGAGCACTGCCATTTTCAACAGCTCATTTCATTTCCATAGGAAAACACATTTCCCGAGGATTTGCAAGTCTCCAGAAGCAGGATGCTCTGATATTGTGCCCTTCTCTGAGCTGGGCTGCTCCTGCCTCATACCCCTTGGAAAATCCAGCAACAAACATGTAGTGGAATAGGTAGGAACCTCAGCGAGCAAAAGTGATGTTTGAGAGCTGGCAACCCCACCTTTGGCTCTCGATTGCCACAGCACAACAGGCACGTTAACAAACAGCAAAAGCCACCCCATGTCCCAGGGCTGACAGTGAGAAAAAGGGAGGTGACATTTCTGAAACAGTTCTTGTGAAATAGAGGAAAGACACTCGGCCTCTCCCTCTCTCACAAATAGCCACCGCAGGAAAGCTGCAGGCTTCCAAACCCAGCTCAGGGAGGATCTCATTTGTTCTCTAATTTGTTGCTGCAGAGAGGCTTTTGAATACTTATTTTCAAAGTCCAGGAAAAGCAAGATCAAGAGTTCAGGAGCTCCTGTGTCTGTGTATGCACACAGATGCACCCTTGTCTGTACATTCATGGGTCCTTTATTTCAGTTTGGGAAGCCTTCTCAGAGTTCATTTTCACAAGCAGAAAAGTTAAGCAAATGCAAGCCCTGAAATAAGTCAAAGCAGAAAAACAAAAGCTACAGCCTGAGCTCCGGTTTTCAGGTTCGCTTGAGCTCTTGAGTGGACAGTGGGAGGGCTGGGGAGCAGCACAACCAAGCACTCAAGCCAGCATCCCCAGTGCCTGGGAGAGCCCCAACACATGGAGCCGCTGCGGGCAGCTCCCCAGCTCCAGGTGCACTGGCAAAGGGGAGAGGAGACCTTCCTGCATGGGAAGTCCATCAGAAATACGGCAAAGGAAGCATTTTGGTGATGCCTGAGCCAGCTTTGTACAACCTGTTCTCAAACACTGAGACACAACAGGGCTGGGAGCAGAGCGCGAGGCTGGGTTTGGAGCTTCCCTGCAGCCGCAGAGGCGCTCAGCCGCGAGGGGCAGCCCGCGGCGCCGATCCCGCCCTTCCCAACCCCGCGCAGAGCGGCGCTGGGCTCGGAAGTCAGCACTGCGCCCGGTGCCTGCAGCGCCGCATCCCCGGAGCCACCAGCCACAATCACATCGGACTCCCCTTCACCCCCCAGACAGGCCCAGTGCTGCTGCCAGCTACAGAGATGAGCCTGTCCCTCCCTGCTGCCCAGAAACGCAGCTGGCAGAGAGGAGCCCGGCCTCTCCCTTGCTCACACTGCAGAGACCCAGAGAAGCACCGCACAAGCTGCAGCGAGGCCAACCTTATCTCTGCGCACTCTGTTGCGGACATGAGCCCACAGCGGGATGCTGCCAGCACACACATCCTTCCCCGGAGAGTCCCACCGGCTCCTGTAGGTGCAATTTTGGCAGAAATTCCTGAAGACCCCTTGTAAGGAATAGTCAGTAACCAGCAGTTCCCACATCTTGGGGCTGCACAAAGCCAAAGGGCAGCAGGTCTTAGCTTCGGGGCTCCAGCAAACCCGAACAGCAGCCTGTTTGCAGGAGGACTTGCTTTTAACTCCCACGGAAGAGATCCGCCCCCGCCTGCGAGGCTGGCCAAGGCCTCTACGAGCTGGCCAGAATTGAGACTGTTCTCCCCTGAATTTCCGTGCTGGAAGTTCGGTTTCTTTCAACAACTGCATTCTTTTCCCAGAATACAGAGGAAACCGTTTCTGAAGTGTCTGGTTTCCTACAAGGAATAACTGTGCTCGGGGTTCCGGAAAACTTGACCTCCGCCTGCCTAAAAAGTTACCTTCCAGTTATGCTGCCAAAACAGCCCTGCTGATGCTTAGTCACAACCGACCCCCCAGCTTAGGGGCAGTTTTCCATATGCTTTAGCGTGGAGTCACTAAAGAGGATTATTTGTAGCAGAATCATGATGCTTAAACCTGAAGGAGGAAAAGGGGGTTGAATATTTTCAGAATGCTAAAGGAAGGTTCCACTGTTGCCTAATTTAACAGGTATTCCTGGTTACGTCCAGGTTCTACGTTATGTCTAGTGAGCTCCTACGTTCCTACCGTGAAAGCAAGCGAAGAGATGTTAGAAATACCCAAGCTGATGGCCTGATTGGGCAGGAAGCAGGTTGGACTGCAGGGACACATGGAGAGGAAAAGCAAGGGGCACGGGACTGTCTGCCCTGAGCCAACCCCGCACAACGCACAGGCAACAACAGACCAAACAGAGCAAAACAAACACCACCACCCCCAAAAATAGCAGCTCAAGGAGCTTTGTAACAAAGTGAAATGAGGTAAGGACATGAAAGAGCAGACGTTGAATGCTGATGAATCTCGCCGCGCGGAGCAAGACAGGAAGGTCGAGTCTAGCAGTCTGATAAGCCACAGCAGGAAATAGAGTCAAGGGGAAGCAGTGACCGCCACTGGGATGTGGAGCAGGTTTCCAGCCCCGGGCACTGCAGGTGGCCGGCCCTGCAGAGCCGGCAGCAGCGCAGGGGCAGCGGGCGCATGCGGGTGGCAAAGCAAGAGCAGGGCACAGAGCGCGGGCGAGCGCCGTGCTGCAGCCAGAGAGGGCCGGGGCAAACAGGGTCACTCTGTCTTTTAGCCCCATTTGGGGATTGGTGACCTAGAAAAGAGAACAGAAGAATGGAATCTGCCGAGAACTGCGGAAAGGAGGCGGCTCCAAGCGACCCCACTTGGCGCAAAATTCACAGCGTCTCTCAACATTCCCTTCCAACAGCTGCCTGGGTTGGATGGCGAAACAACCTGTCCCATGACCTCTGAAACCCTGAAAAATTGTGCTGTGCTTCCACAATCATCCAAATAGGAACAGACTTGCAAAACTCTCAGAATGCATCTTCTCATGTGCCTGTCCAAGTCGGGGACGGGCAAGTGCGACACCCTGGCCCTCGAAGTGGCGCAGTCTGAGATAGGAAAGGGAAGCAGCGCGCGCAGGGAGCGGGGGCTGCGTGTGCAGACCTGGGAAGAGCAACTGAGGATGCCGGGCAGGAGCAGCGAGAAGCAGGAGGCTGAGGAGAAGGGAGCCTGGGCTCTGCCTCCGGAATCCACCGCTGCACGTGCCGAAGTTTTTTAGAAAGGCAAAGGACACATGTCCCAAGAGCCAAACCAATAAGCATCAGTGGAAGTGAAATGCCTGGGAGCGAGGCAGCCTTAAGGGTAGTGGGTTTTATGTTATTTATTCGCATTACTTCCTCCCTTTATTAAATCTCTGTGGCAGCTTCACACTCCAGCAATTTTTAATTGTAACTGATGTGACATAGATGTTGTCCGAGTCTCGCTGCTGCTGGAAGCTCCCAGGCCGGCCGTAACCCCATTCTTCCCAAAGCTCCCCACTGACATGTTAATCTTTGCTGCCATCACCCTTTAGACACGACCCGTTGCCTTCTTCATTTCCACCCTACTTTCATTGCTGAGATACTGTTCTGCATGAGCAAACTGCTTAAATGAACTCGAGTGTGTAAAAGGCTTTCTGGGTTGACACTTGGGAGGGCCGGCATGTGACAATCTGTTTTACACGGAAAACAATCTAGATGTCTGAAATAGCCATGTGCACGGCTATGAGACAGCCCAGATAATTAAGCAGATAACAGCAATTGCTTTGCATGGCAACAGAGGAGCTGCCAGAGAAGGAGCCTTCTCGGGACACATCCTCCCTGATTTTCCAGCACTGCTGGAGAGAAGGAAATGGTTTGTCTGAGCTGATCACGCAGAAGGAAAACAACAGAGAAAGCAGAGTTTCTAGGCAGCACTAAATGGAGGAGATGGATCACAGGGCAAAGAATTCATTTGCTCACGCAGTCTGCTCCCAAAACTGAGGCCGCTTTTGCTGACCCACTTGGATGCAGGGTCTCAAGACCAAACAAAACGCTCCTACACTCAAAACGTGGGGACGGGCCTGCCCTCGGATGTGCAAAATGTGAAGGACGAAAGGACAAACCTCCCAAGTGCTGAAGATGGGTTGCAAGGTAACAGTCAGAAAAAGAAAAAACAATCAAAAAAGAGTTCAAAATGAGAGGAGCTGATACAAGTAAGCCTCAGGTTCCCCGCTCTATTAAAATGTCTCTGTCCTCCTCTCTCCAAAGTACCAGATAATCCCAGTTTCATCCCAGGAATGGCACATTTTCCCTGCATTTCTCAATGCCCAAGAGGTAACAGAAGCCCCCACCCATACAAACAAGTTCACTAAAGAGCTACATGGGCAGTGCGGCCATTCCCAAAAGATCCAATGAGGACTTCCCTTCTACATTTACAAGAGGCACTCCCATAATAAACCTAATGGTTTTATTTTTCAGGGAGAAGACTCTCAGAGTGACAAGCAATGAAGCTCTCGTATGTGGCTATAAAAACAGGTAAATAAAATATTCCATAGGAAGAGAAAATATGAGCAATGGGAGCTATTAAAATTACTGCCCATTCCTGGAAGCCCCTGAGCACAGGGACCAATTTCCAGTCTTTCTTCCTCCAGTGCCGTTAAGTAATGGAGAGATTTAATAAACATGTCACAGCAAAAACAGTCCCAGTCTCCTTGATGCATTGTCTTCATCTCTGCAGCCCGGAGAATTCGGTGAGTCAGAAATCCCAGGAGTGGGAAGTTGCAGATTTACAATAATAATACACAGCTTAACAATACACTGTGATTTGGCCAACACAGAAATTTCCCTGTGCTTATCAGCAGTAGGATGTAGACATGACTGTTGATGTTCCCACAGTTTTCGACGCAAGGGAATTTGGGAAAAAATCTTACCCAACTTGACAGACCTCTACACAGGGCAGACTTCAGCTGAATAGTGACAATGACAACAAAAATGACAATAAACAAACCCCTATTTATAGACAAATATAAAGTAAACAAGCTTAATGTAAAAGCACCCGTGAAAATCCCAAAAGAAAATGAATACAAAACAAGTGATAGCAAAAGATGCATTAATAAAACTATCCTTCAGCTACAGATTCTCATTTGATTTTGTTGCTGCATTATTGTTATTTCTTCATAGAGAAAAAAAAATCACTGATGGTTTGCTTTAAAATAATAATAATCCTTTAAAAATGCTTACCAACCCCAAATCTTACCAGAGTGTGTTATGACTTCTCTTTACAGTTCCTGAGCAATGCTAAGAAATTGCCTGGTGGGATTGAAATCACAGAGTGCTGAGAAAGCCTCCGACAGACCATGCTCTGAGAGATCTCTGGTTAGCCTGAGAGTCCACAGGAGCCACAAGGTACCAGCACATTTACTTATTTGTAACATGCATTTTCTTTCAAATATCTACCAGCAGGTTTTATGACAAAGGTTTCCCTCCACACAGCACGGCAATCTCAGGACAAGGTGGGAGAGGAAGGAGCTGGTTCATCCAGACAACGAACCCTTCTCGAGGAAGGGCGGGATATGATCCTGCAGGCCACCCTCAACCAGAGCTGGTCCAGCTCTGTTTCACCCAAACACTGGGGGAAGCTGTTTGAGCAGTGGTAAAGAGCCAAGGTAAACGAGGAAGAAGTGACAGTATTTTTCAGAAAGCCAAAACATAAAACGTTTCTGGACTGTTTGTCTGCTTTGAACAATACCCAGTCCCACTCAGAGAACGTGTCCTCAGAAGCATCATTTAACACTCCCCCACACCACATGTGGATGGCACAGCAGTCTGGAGAAGGACGGGGACCACGTGCTCTCCAGGTTATCCTGCACCAAGGGCTCCTCTCGGGAGCTCTGGCTCTTTATCCCATTGCAGCTCCCTGAAAGCAGCATCCGCTTTCAGTCATCACCTCCCCCATTGCCACACAGCCAAGGTGTCCTATGCTGATTCTCGGTGTGGCAGGTTCAGAGAAGCCATTTGTCTTCCTCAGACACAGCTTGTTGTCATGGTCACTAAACTCTGAACGTGGGACAAGCAGCCCGGCCGCTCTCCAAGGCTTTGCCAGCACATCCATCAGCTGCCAGCCTGAGCCACGTCCGCCACGGGATTCCCGGCGGGGCTGCTATATTCACTGCTTCTCTTTTCCTACCCTTCACTGTGGGGGTACCCCACCACAAGTCAGGGATACTCAGCAGGGCCCAGGGCTCGGGGACTGCGCACTCACAAAATACTCTCCTTAAAATGCTGATGCTAAGAGGCAAATTGGAGATCAAAACTCAGCTTCATTTGAGAAAGCATCTATTCCATAAGGGTAGTAAAGTAGGGGATGAGGGAAAAAGCTGCTGACTTTCTGACTATGAATCACACATACCGTCTTCCTCACTGTCTGCAGGAAAAACCCCAGTGTTGAGACACTCAGAAGGCAGAACACAACATCACAAGACACTCCAGGATTCAAAAGTCCTATTGTGTTTACAGTACAGTACAGTAAGGGTACAGTAAGGGTAGGAGGAATGAGCTAAACAGTCACGGAATCACAGAATGGTTGAGGTTGGCCATCTTACCTGGATCTGCCCTTTCCCCATTATGCGGTCCGTGCTCTCTCCATCCTCTTTGGTGAGCTTGGTTTTGTTGTAGCACTTTTCATAGCAGAGAATCCGCAGAGTTTGGGAGCCTTCCAGCTCAATCTCAAACTCCTGCAGGGCACCAGGGAAACAAACAGCAGTGAACACACCACAGCTGGGTATTGCTTCTTCATCACCTATAGACTCTCCTTAAAGCCTATCACAAGGGAGGGCTCACAGACTGACCAAAACCCCCTGCCTAATGGAGTTGGTCTATAAATAAACTGAAATTATATTTCGTGTGTATATAATGTGGTTAAATTAGAGACAAGAAAGAGAGTTGACTCCTTAGGTAGGTGTCACTGAATTTCAGTGAAGCATCATTTGAAGAAATGAACTTACCACATTCTCTGTATTTAATTTTACTCCCTAGACAGTTTACAAGTTGGCAGTAAATGGGCAGAATGTCTATAACTAATGCCCCCCTCTCCCCTGCAATAAACAAACAAAGCAAATATTTTCTCTGATGTCTTTTAAAAAATAAATATATCTGTTTAAATGATGAGATGCTGAACAGCACAAGACTCTTTTTTTTGCTGAAATGTTGGTTAACTATAGATAACGCAAAAGAAAATCTTTTGCGAGCAAAAAGAGCAAGGTGAGATGTCAGGACCTTGTCATAAACACGGTTTTTGGGAGGCAGTGCCTGCAGCACACGTCCCGAGCAGCCAGTGCAGGCTGCAGACAAACTGTTCCCTCTGCCCATCCTGTGCTGCTCTTGGCACACGGCGCAAGGCACATTGAGAACAACCCAACCTACCTCATTCCAGTTGGGCTCCGTGGTGTCCCTGTAGACTCTAGTTTTAGCCTTGTTTACGAAATACCCAAAAGAATCCACCTCTAATGTGCAGTACAAGTCTGAGAGAGAGGAAATGGACACTAAGACTTTGTTCAGATTGCAACAGTCTCCTACATTTATTACTACTGAGGGGTTTCTTTATCTGTATCTTATCTGCATTAATACGAATAACACAGCCCAGTGCAAATCCTGCTTCTCATGCAGTGTTTTTGGACCAACAGAGTTGTCTTTAAGAAGCCGAAGTACCAGCACAGCAGGGTACATGACTTCAGCATGGAGAAGCCCTTCACCTGCACCCAAACTCTGGTGCATGCTGGTATCCAGTGCTGGTGTACCCAGCCTGGGGTATGCTGGTATCCAGTACCTCCCCAGGCCATCCACCCTGAGCACAAGTCATGCATTTCTGCAGAAACTCTCTGCTTTTTACCTCTCTTGATCTTTCTGTCAAATCTTTGCCCTGAATTTTTACACTTTTTGCTTCCTACATCAGGCATCATCAAATCTGATGTCAGAGACTGTTTCTCATCCTTCTACTGTATGAAAATAGAGGATAAGGCTTGACTTGCACCTTGGATTTTGGGTGATTAGCAAAAGCATGGCTTAAAAACCAAAACAATCAAAATATAATACTAGGCTGAGAGAAAAATGATGCATACTTGATTCTGATACTTCTAAGAGTTGTTAACAGAGTTTTGCAATCCCCTAAATTTACACCAGTGTCCCAATTTTCACTTCCATTTCCCCAAATCACCTCTGGTTTTCACCATCATCCTAGATGCTGCAATTCTAAATCAATCCACCCACAACTGTGGCTGCAGCTGCATCGTCCCGGCCTCGCCAGCCACCCCCATGAACCAGCGCTACAGAACTGCCACTCACTCGAGCTCTGCTTGAATCCCGTGGCAGAATGGACAATGACATTGAGGAATCCGTAGAGACCTGGCGACTCATCATCTGCACAAAAGATGCAAGAAATTTTGTTGAAGTTCATGGAGAGGCCAAGAGAGAAAGAAAGAGTGATGAAATGGGTATTTCATAGTTTTATGAGTGTGGGGTAAGGTTTCCTTAAAATGCACAGCTGCACACGTAATGTAGCCAATTTTGTAACAGGGAGGAGAACACTGTTCCAGGTTAAATGGTCTGTTCCATCTGTAATACTGTCTCAAATTCGGGGGGTTTTACAAAGTCACTTTAGGGCCAACAAGACAGCATGGGAGAAATTCAAATGCAAACAAGTGAAATAGAGAGGCTAAGTCTATACTAGCAGGTTAAACAGTAATTTAGGCACTGGAGTTTATTCAGATGGTCTGTGAGGCAGTTCTGACTCTTGCCAACTGGGGCCCTTCCAAAGGAATCCTGAGCAAACTTCAGGAGTTGCCCCCAGGCCAGGGCTCCTCCAGGCACTCGGCTCCATGGCAGAAGATGACAACAGCCCTGTATGTAAAGACTGTTTAACAGTCATGGAACATGAACTGGAGGATGGTCCAGGGATGTTTATTTTTCTAGCAGAGATGTAGCCATGCAGTTTGGAGCTTGTTATTTTTATTGCTGTTGCAAATTGAGATCACTGATTGCCCTTGTGTCCGCCGCTCTCTCTTTATATGCTATCATCTCCTGTAGCTGACCTACACAGAGCAGTGCATATGGTCTCAACTTTTGTCTTACAGGAAGTACCAGTTTGTCACCTATCATCAAGTTGAAGCCTGTAGCAAAAAGGAACAGCAAGAGCAGCTCTAGGGGAAATGCGCAGAGAGAGGCAGCAGGAGGTTTTCACTCCAGCTGCACTATATGAAGGCACAAACCATGGTCTCACCTTCCTTATTGATAGTGAGGGGAATGTTGTGCACTGTCTGCAGCTTCACGCAGGAGTTTGTCAGCATCTGGAGCTCCACTGACGTGAGCGAGAAGCTTTTAAAACCTGCCAAGGAGGTTCAAAGGAGGAGTTAAAATTCAAAGCAGAGACTGGAGGCCTCTCGCTCTGGGCATACACTGGAGAGCACCTCCCTGTGACAGGACCATGGTGCTTATAGCTATGCTACTGCTGAATCTCAGCTCTGTTTAGGGCATATTTAGTTACCCTCTGTTGTAAAAATTTCAGGGCAGTGCACAGGAGCTACAGGGGCTCTTATTTTCTTGCAAAGTCAAAAATATATCTGTTCCAAAAAGTAAACGTTTATTGAGGCTGGAGCCAAGTAAAAGGCTGCAGCTGTTTCCTCAGCGGACCCCGGGGAGCTCTGATCTCCAGAGGCAGCGGGTGACCCCTCTGCACACCCACCAAGCCCTGTCCCCACACTGCCCTGCCTGGTGTTGCAAGCACAAGTCCTTCAAACAGGCACATGTGGAGACACACACAGACACCCAGGTTGTTCAGCGGACATTGCTGCACATCCCACTTTCCTTAGGCCCCACACACCACCCCTCTGGGCTGCTGCTCTCTAAAGTAGCAGAGCAGCGTTTGCACCATTGCCCAGCTGGGGGACACTCACATTTCTTCTGCTGTTCCCGGATGTTCTCTCTCCACTCTGCCCTTTCATAGTCCGACGAAATGAGGAATGTATAACTCTATGCAAGAAAAGGGAAGGAAAAATGGATATACATTAGTGTGACCCACCTTGGAGGGCAGGCCTGCCTCCCACACCTTCCTGGGGCAGTTCCTGCACTGTCCTTGCAGTATTGCTGCTGCTTCCCTACGGCTCAGCTTCCCCACGAGGGGCACGTGCGCCCTTCCCAGCAGGGTGCTCTGACCCCTGCGCCCTGCAAACACAGCTGGGTTCCTGGGCTCCTGCTCCGCGCTGCTCCTTCCTCACATCAGGAAACCCAACAGCCTTCGCCGCAGGCCAAGACACGATGCGAGCAGGGAGGCAGAGGCCACGCTGGGCATTTGCATCGACTCCGGAAGCCCTTTGCTAGGTGTGTGCAAAGGCCACGAGGAGCAGCCACTGTGTCCCCAGGGCTGGCGCCCTGAGCACCCCACAACGCTACAGGGGATTCCTGAGCCCTGCTCAGCAGCCCTGGGGCCGGATGCTGTGTGCAGTCTGGAGGAGTGAACAAAGCCTCCAACTTGAAAGTGAGACTAGAGCTGCTGCAGAACCTAATCTCAGGTCATGGAAGCACCTTCCATTGTGCTGCCAGGGCAGCTGCAAGCACAGACATGTGCTGAAGTAGGGAAACCATTTCTAACTTTATTTTTTAAATGCCAAAGTCCCATGCACATGAATCAAGATGTCTCCACAGCCTTTGGTGAAGGCAAAGGTTTGGTGACTACTGCTTTCATGCCAGATGCTAAAGGACAAGACAGACTTATAAGGTCTCATTATGTAATAGTGCATACAAACACAACCTCCCATGGTTTGATTTCTGTCTTGCACACGAGGTCCGTGGCAGAGCAGAGGAGCTGCTCACCTTGCCATTGCGATTGTGTACCCGGAAAGCCATGTTGGGAGACATCAGCAGCAGGAGGGACTCCTGCTCCGACAGCTTCTTCTTCAACCTCTCAATGACCTTGCTGCCCTTATTGGCCCTCTGGAGAGAAGGAGAGAAAGGGAGAGAGAAGGCACAGGTCATTCTCCAACAGCTGCCCCAATATCCACAGCCTTCGCGATCAAAAGTCTCTTCCTTCTCTGAATAAGGCCATGGCTGCAGGCAGCAGAAATGCTGTCAGCAGGATCCCCAGGGCTCCGAGCTCCTCAGGGAGACAGTCCTTTGCAGCCCAAGTCACGTCTGTGCAGCCAGGCTGGCTCTGTGCCCCCATTCTGGCCACCCCAGATGCAGGCTGATGCCAAGTACACTTGCTGCCTGAGCTGTGCCCATTTTCATAGCACTGAAATGCTCCAGCACAGCTCCGTATACACCGTAGCTGAGGGGACTGGCAGCTCACAGCTCTGGGGACAGAGCGCTCTCCCATCCACCACCTGCCAGCATAATTTTAGCAGAAGTCACCTAAACACAAGGCCTTTTCTCAGACAAGACTAGTCCCAAAGCCAAGCCACATCCATTGCTGGTGGCACCGAAGTTCATATCTTAGACACCTGTAGCCTTTAAGTAAAAAGCTTCCATGGTTTAAGATTCCTCTTAGAACCTTCTTTTCCAAGAAACCCTCTCTGGAAGCCAGCCAGAGTAAGAAGCGTTTTCTTTGGAATTGTGGGGGATAAACCTCTCATGGCACACGCAGTGTTATTCACATCCTGCTCTGCATACCTGCAGGTTTCAGTTTTCAAACGCTTGTTTCTGTTTCGGATAGCGTGATGGATTGGAGTCTACCAGCCTCGAGAAAACATGCCTTGCAAAGAAAGAGAAGCGCAGCCAGGGACAGTACATCCATGTTAGACTGTCCAGTCAGAATATTTGGTCCAGTCAGAATATTTGGTTCCAAATACAAATATTGTATTTGGAACATACATCTCCTGGGGCACTGAATTGCTCCATTTGCCACTTCTACCACAGCTGCCCCACAAATATCTGTTGAAGAGTCAGTCTTAGCAGGACTTGGCTGTACACAGCCCTGGGAATGCTGCTTCTACCAGCACCTCATCTCAGCAAAGACACTTCTGAACAGAGTCTGTTCTGCACTTGGCACAGAGTGCTCAACTCATCCTACCTTTTCTCGTTGGATGTCATTCTTGATCTGGGATATCTTGATCTTCATGGCATCCAGCTCCTCATCAGGTACCAGTGGGATATTGGGCACTGCCTCAGACTCATCCACCATCTGGAAGCTCAGGTCCGTGAGCGGGATGTACCATTTGCAGTCGTACTGCTGGCTTTTCCTGAAAGACAGAAAGTATTTTTCATATACCTTTATAATATGCATTATACCTTTATATACACTAGACCTTTAGCATTACTGGTGTTGAGGATGCTCATTCCCTGCTCCCATAAATCCTTCCCTGTTACAGTTCATAACAGAGATATGGGAACAACCTCCATCTGACTCCTAAGTGAAAAAAAAAAGTCTGGTAAAGGGCTGCTTTCCAGCAAGAAAGTTGGAAGGGCCAACAGCCAGTACAGCACACAAGAAAGCAAGCTGCTGTGTTAGCTGGTTCTTTTCATGCTAAGAAATCACAAATCTCATTTGCAATCTGCTTTGGTCCAACCCTTTCGTTATTTGAAGCCACTGTGAAGACAGAGCTCAGCAGCCATGTCCTGCCTGTGCTGGGCTGGGACCTGTGGGTGTCAACCCACGTGTCACCTACCTGAGCTCCTAGGGCAAGGCAGGGGACAGACAAGCTTGTGCATAAACCCCCGGGCAATCTAACCAGGGAGGAGGGACAGTAACTACAGGTGATGATTGCTGCTCTCCACTGCTTTCACCAGCGTAATGGGGTTTCCCTTCTCGCCATTCATGTGGTATCTTAGCTCTCCTCTCCTTATACAAGTCTCCTCTTCAGTTTTGACAAATGTCAATGAAACTGTAGAGGTCCGCTCTGGAGCAGATGGGAAGGAGGGACTCTTTACTGCCCCTGCTCCTTTTTACTGTAAAAATTAACTGCCTGCAGCTTCAAGGCCAAAATGAGTAACTCAGTAACAAAACGGAAAGGGAGTTAGAAAATATGAATGGCTTTTTTTCCAGAATATGAGGAACGCTGAAGCGTATCTTTTTCTTAGAAAGGTTCTTAGGAAAAGGAAAAAGGAAAATTAAAAAAAAAAAATCCTAAGGGATCAGGACGCAGCCAAGGTCTCACACGATGGGCAGCACTACCTCGCTGGACGTGTCCTTTCTGACTACATGTGGCTGTAGTTACTCAAGTCTGGGGTATTCCAATTGAACCGTCATTGCTGCCTGATCCCAGGACCCTGCTGAAGCTGTGGCAGAAGAAAAGCCTCACCCTCCAATCTGCTTCTTGAGCTTGGCACAGAGGAAGAGATCAGTGAAGAGGAAGACGTGTCGCAGTTTGCGAGCCCCCTCAACCAGCTCCACCATGAAGCTGTCCTTCAGGAGCTGCCGGTGCTGGCGAGAAAGCACAACAGGTATTTTAGTTAGGGCAGGATGGGCCCCGACAAGGCCCCGAGCCTCCCTCGGCCTCACCCAGCTTAGACGGGACTCCAGCAAGAGGCAGTTCTGTAAAACGGTGCCAGCTCTGCCCCTGCTGCTGCCAAGGGACGGCAGCTCCTCACCTACCTGCAGCCAGAGCCGGGGCCTCTGCTCCGTCCCCTGGGCCTGAGCAGGAGCTTCCTTGGCCTCGAGTCACCGCCAGGCCAGGGCAGCCTCCTCTCCCCACACACCAGCAGGGAGCAGCAAACTCCACTTTCACACCCAGGTTCTTCCCCTCTCTGGAGTCCGGCTGCGGAAGGGAGCGCAGGCTCCGCAGGGAAGGAGCCCACGTTCCGCAGCAGCACCCGCTCTGCACAACCCGGCCCATCTCGCTCCTCAATACAGGTGCTCCTGAGTGACGATGCTTGGAGAACGTGTGGTTCTAGCAAACCTACTGCTAGTCCCTCATCAGCCTGTGATAGGCTCCCTATTTCCAAATACCTATTTAAAGCCCTTTTACATTTCATATGAAATTCCTCCAAACCTGGAGGCTGCAAAGAAGCTCCCAGCCCTGATGTGTTTTTATTCTTCCCATTTCCAGGCACTGGTAGCTTTACGGCCTCCTAAACAAGAAGCATGCTGGAGAGCAGAGCACCTCTTTCCCAGTTCCTTCGGGGTCGCTCCATAAGCTAACGGAGGCGACGGCCGGAGCGCGGCGCGGAGGGGAACAGCTCATGCCATGCGGAGCCAGGCGGGAGCTCAAGGCCAGCTGTCCCGGCAGCAGGATCAAGCACAGCCACAGGAACAGAAACCTCCCACCCATTTTCATCTCTGGACAAATTTATTTCCCACAAATATGTATGACTGCCAGTGCTGCCTTGCTTCAGGGCTGGTAAAGGAAGGCACCACAGGCTTCTCTGCACAAATGCCTTTCCTGGCCTCAGCACTTCCTCACTATTCCAGTGCTGAGGATGCCTCTCCCGGGAGAGCCGGGAGGGACATTTCACACATACCGTGCGTGGCTGGTGACAGGGACCTGCTCCTGCTGTCCCCTCCTAGCAACACCTGCCCAGCGGGCCCCGGCAGGGAACACGAGGGAGGCAAACGGCCTTGATGCCAATTCCTGTTTCCACGTTCCATCCTACAGCCCCCTAAACCTCCTGATATGGGCCAAAAGCCTGTTCCTTCTGGCTCCGAAAGGCCGGCGCATCCATATGTTAAGGGTTATTTTTAGGTGGGTGTGATCCTCTTGGCTTCTCCTCGGTGGTTTTGGGGAGTGCGCCTGCCTGCATGAAGGTCTTGCTGCCGCCGCGCTTGCGCGGGCCTTCCTGCTCCTGCCCGCACAGCAGCGCCGGGTCGGAGCGCACCGCGAGCATCCAGCTGGGAATTAAACAATAAAAGGGAGGAGGTGTCACGGCAGTCGCAAAATGCTCTGCACAGCTGCAGAGAATTTCATTTGGGAGAAATAACGAAGCAAGGAGAGATTTTCTCAGCAAGCCAACCCCCATCTCAGGTTTCTAGACCTGCTGCACATTAATGACGCTGCAAATCAGCTCAGCTCCTGAGGCCATGTGAGCAGCTCCCTGGGGCCAGCGCAGCCTCTGCGCATCGTCCTGGGGTGCAGAGACATCCTCACCTCTGCTGCGCAGCTGCTCGGTGACACCAGCCTTTGCTCACCTGGGCACAGGTGACATGGCAGGTCCAGACCTGGCCCCTGGCACCAGCTGGTGCGTGAGACTCGGCAGAAGGGTGAGTGGAGCCCAGCTCAGCACTGAGAGGAGAGTTCCTGGTCCCAAAATGCCACAGAGCAACGCAGAAAGTGGGCTGGGCACTGCCTCCCTCCTGGGCAGAGGCCTCTGGTGACAGGGACAAGCCTGCAACATGGCCAGCCCTGGTGCTCCTTCACGGGCCAAGGAGAGCACAGGCCCTCGAGCGCTGCTGGAGGGTTATGAAGGACCATGGCTCAGCCCCTAGCCCAGACTCAGCATCTAAACCAGAGCACTTGGCTGACAACGGAGTCCTGCAAGCGAAGAGAGGCCCCTGCAGAGGCCCCAGGGCCTGGAAGCCCTTTTACAGAAGTAAAAGATAGAAGGGACTTGGTCAGCAGCTCAAAGGGAATCATTAAGGTACCCAGAGCTTTCATTCTTTGTTTCTTCTCACTAATGAGCTCACTGGGAAGGTCTCCTTGCAGGAAGGAGCTGGGGAGACATCCCACCCATGGCCAACCAAACATCCGGGGAGAAGCAAGCAGGAGAAAGTTCGTGAAACAAGTGAGGAAATCTCTCCTGACAAGGGTATGGGGCTTGATGGTGGATCTCTTGGAAAACAGGACTTTCGCTACGGCTGGGCACAGCAGTGTCCCCGGGCTCCAAAGCACCAGCGGGCTGAGCAGGAGGAGGAGGAGGAGGAAGAGCAGTTCCAGCAAAGGGTCACATCCTTTCTTGCCAATGATTCATCTTGTCGGACAGTTCCAGCGGGTCAGAGGGAAACAACAAAAGGATTCCCCACCTGGTTGCCCCGCTCAATGCCAAAGCGCCGCCCTGCGAGCCCACCCGCCCCGGCACCGCTGCTCCTGCTCCAGTCCCTCCAAGGGCCTCCGTGGCAGTCTGGGAACCAAAGCCCACGTTGGTTGGCTCCTTCACCTGGCCTAAAGGAGCTCCTCTTGCCTGAGAGGGTCTCCTGAAACCTGAGGTCCTTGGGCCAGCAGACCCTGCTCCATGTGCCATACAACGCCCTGCATGGGGGAGACCATCTCTCTATTTTGTTCCCAAGGGTATTCTATCTGCCAAAGTCACCGAAGGTGCTACAGGTTTCTCAAAATACCCTGGTGTGACACAGAGGCCACAGAAGCACCAAAGAAACACCCCAGAAAACACTGGCTTAGTGCTGGAGTGGCCCTAGGGTGGTGGAGCGGCTCCCTCTTCCTCAGACAGCCCCAAGCCTGGCAGCTGCCCAGCCCAGGAGCTTGGTTGAGCTGAGAAAGAAGCTGGAGGAAGTCTGGGGCAAAACTTCCATTCTGCATCACAGAGGAGGGAATGAGGATCATCTGTAGCCACTGAACCAGGGCCTGCAGACTGCAACCTCCTCAGCGCTTCTGCAAAGCTCCTGCCTGGGTGCAGTGCAAGTCTCCTTTGCAGGCCCTGCTTTCCCTTCACATTCACACCCACCTCTTCTCCCCTCCACTGGGACAAACGAGCTCTCGCTCCGCTCTTTCGCTACTCAGGATATCCTTTCCATTGCCTACAGCTGTGCTGTCCTCCCCCGCCCGTCTCTGCCACTGCCTCCTCATGACTACCTGCACGCTCATCAGCCCACAGTGTTTTTGTGCTGTTTGCATGTGATAAATCCTGCGGCTGTCATGTACCATTCAACTCCAGGAAGCGCAGCAGGAGACCAGCTTGTCCGAGGGATGTTGCAAGCGGAATTCAGAAATCTGCTCGTCCAGACTCCCGGCTCTGCACAGGGCTGTGTCCCCACGTGAGCGCCCGCGGCGAGAGCGGAGGCCTGCGGCACGCGTGGGCGAGAGCCCCAGGAGGGACGGGAACGCGTGTGGCGCGGGAGGAGGAGGAGGCTACAAGCAGGAGATGGGTATTGGCGTGTGTCAGTGAGGAAGAGCTGGTTTGGCTCTCTGCAGAGCGTAGGAAGAAAATGATTCCTCATGTGCGTGTGTGTCGCAAGACCAGCTCTGCAGAATAAAGGGATGCTCTGCCTGGGGAGCTAAACGGGCTGCTCGCAGTTTTTCAATAGCCTTTCTTTTTTTTCAAAGCTGTTGTCACCAGGAGCTCTCTGACTCCAGCTGTGAGGCAGTGTGAAGTATCCAAGATTGTTTTTGAGGGCTCTGTTGCCAACATCTGCCCAGGGCCTGCAGGGGCAGGAGGCACTAGGCCTCAGGCTGCGCAGGCTGCCTCTGTCTGAGCTCAGTCCTCAGCTTTCCAAAGGCTCCAGTTTGCACTTCTGCCCCCTGGTAAACCCCCTTTGTCCTCTCCTTTTCACAATCCCTACCAAGCCAAACAGGAGCCTAAGGAGCCCTTATAAGCCACGCTGAAAACATGGCAGAGCAGCCTGCCAAGCAGCCTCTTCTCTGCAGGACTGGGGAAGGACAATGTCCCCAGCAGTATAAGCTGACCCAAATGTGATCTAGGGTGGCTAAAACCAGCAGAAACCCTGCAAAGAGCATCACTGGACAAGCAGCAAGCAAGGAAGGGACCTTCTTCTCCCAAAGCAGCTCTGTGATCTTAGCAGTTTCAGTAGCTCCTGCTGGGCAAGAAAGGGCTGAACTAGCCAGAAACACTAGAAAGGATCACACTGTTCTCAGCATTCCCCTAATCCCAGCTTGCATCCTCAGCTCACCCACCAGCGTAGCCATTTCTGTGCCTTTGGCAGCAGTTTTACCCCCTTCATGGCCTACCTGAAACGTTCATTCAGGCCCGCCAGTTCTACCAGGTGCATGTGGCATGGAAAATGTCCAGTTTACACATCAACCTGGAACGGGAGAAGAGTTCCCCGAGCCCAGCAGGGCTGTGGGGCTGGAAGGACACACGACGGGAAGGCGGACTGAGCCCGTGCCCCCAAGCAGGACATCCCCTGTGCGGAGGAACGAGGATGGTGCTGATGAGGCTGTGCTCGATCCCGACCCGCACGCCTCTCCGCAGCAGCCTGTCGCCAGGGAGATTAACCAGGGGCTGCTCTCCCCGGTTCAAAGCGATCACGTACGGGAGAGCCGGAGCGAGAGGCTGGCAAAGGAGATGTGACTCCTCCCTGTGCTGCACCCGAAGGAGAGAAACGTTCCACATAAAAGGCAAGGACTGGCGAAAAAAGATAACTGAGATCAGCACCTAGGCAATACGTGAGGGGAGAGGGTTGTTTTCCCTCCTTCCTTTCCACCAAGGAAATTTCAATGGGAGAAAGAAAAAATAACGCAAAAAAGCGCCATCAAAGCAAGCTGGTGATTCATTAAAATAAAAAATGCATTATGCATCGAGAGCAGTCAATTACAAGCTGCAAACTGCACACTGCCCTGTCACCCCGGGGAAGGCACACGCAGGGGAGTGGGAGGAAGGGATAAGCAGCAAAGGGAAGATTTACAGACACAAACAAAACCCGTCTCCAACCCCAGGCAGAGGGGCTTGTGGGAAGCAGCAGCTGCTGGTAACCCACGTAGAGCAGCCAGGAGCCACTCGTGTCCATCCAGGACACTGTCCCTCTGAAAAAGATGCGGGATCTTGGTGCCCAATGCCCGAGGGAAGCAGCCATGAGCAGATTCCCGGGGTGACAGCAAACGGGAAGCACCAGAATGAGCCCCTTCTGCCCTGGCCTCAGCTCTGACCATGCATGGCCCAGGTGAGGGGGGCACAAGGGCTCCCAGTCCCCTGCCGCGTGGTCACAGCACCCAGTGTGAGTTGTCCTCTGTTCTCCCTCCCCATTGCATGCGGGGTCAGTGAAAGCACCAGCCCCCCAGGCTGAGCCCAACCCCAACAGCCTCCCCGTCCTGCCCTTCCGGGCCTGACAAACACACCTCTCCGAAGAGACATCATGAGGATGATCCACTTGGGCTCAGGTCCCTCATCAGGACTCTGCGTGACGCCCTTCCGAGCCCACAGCCCTCACTGAGATGCTGAGGGGCAAGCGGGGAGCACGGAGCGCTGCCTCCCCTGCAAGGGGCCACCGCAGCCGGCGGCGCCTGCTCGGGCTCTACCAGCATCAGCCTGAACGAGGCCTCTACTGCCCCGACAGCCCTGGTGGCTGCTGCCCGCGCTGCTCCCTCAGCCTCCAGCTGCTCGGGCCCTCCTCTCCTCACCACAGTCTTCCTCAGCTGACAAAACAGGACCAGAAGCAGCAGTTACAGAACAATCGGCGCACCCAATTCCCAGCCCTGTAGCTTCTGCAGCTGAAAATCGGTCTAACAGCTAAAAGCAAGTGTGCTTAACTCACAGGATTTGGGGATACATCTTGAAGGTCCACTCTAAGCTAACAAACTCGTGTTTGCTTAAGAGCTGTTTCCGTACAGGTCACTTCTGATTGTCAGTGTGCCTGACACTGCAATCCTGCTTACACATGCGCTGGCAACTGGGCTGCACTTCCCTCCCATCCAGCCTCCTACATCTGTCTCTTAACACTTCTGTCAGGCCTGGCCCTTATGCAGAAAGGACCATCTTCCCTTCTAATGAATTCCAAGGCAGATGACTCAGGTACAGCCAAGCCTGCAGGGCTCCACTCTTGGGCAATTCTACACTTCTCTTGCACAACAGCACACGCAGGTGAGGGAACTGCACATTTTAGTGCTTTCCGGGCCCAGTCCAATTGCCAGCAGAACAGAGAGTTGTATCACACCCTTAGACCCTCCCTTAATGTTCCCAACCTAATCCGCTTGTTTTGTTTCCTAGTTCTGTTTACAACATCGTTCTTTAGAAACAAGCGTTCACAAAGTGAATTTCAATGACAGAATGAAGACCGTGGAGAACTGCTGGGGCTGTTGCTCTTTCCTATTTTTTTGTGATTTCAGATGTATCCTTCCCTTTTTCTCCTCCCAGACATTCTGTTTGGTTTCCATTTACAGGTAAAAATACAAATTCTTCTGTGTGCCTAGGAATATGAATACGCATTAGAGCGATGACGTATAACAAATAATTACAACAATGCTAAGGCCAAAATTCAAAACCTACTTTTCCTCTGGATTTCCAAAGAGTTTTCCAAGCAGAAAACAGGAGAGCTGTACTACACCCTTGGAGAACAAGGACACTGCGCCAACTGTATCTTAGCAACAAGCAAGCGAGGAGCGTGCGCTCCCGGCCCGCTCCGCAGAAATGCGCAACCTGGATTTGGGAACTGACAAAATACCCAGCGCAGGAGGACTCACCTCCCCCTTCTTCACGGTCATGGACTGCCGGCGGGGAGTGATCTCCTCGTTGATGCTGGAGAGGAAGTTCTGCGAGATCCGCAGCGCGTCCTGCAGGAGGGGATGGTCAGGGTGGGTCACTGGAGTGTGCTTCAGCAAATCCTGCCACCGGGGAGAACAACAGCACCGTCACCAACGCTGCCAAGGAGAAGGCTCTGAGGTCCTCTAACCAGATCATTTCTCCAGCCCCTTCTTACAGATTAAAGTTGTATCTACAGAGGGAGAGGACTATGCCCTGTACTTCTCAGTACCACCACTGGAGAGGCCTATCTATGATCCCACTTACGGACTTCCTCTCCTCAGTGCAAAGAAAAGAGGCTCATATGCCTCTTTTCAGCTTAATTTTTGCAGTCTTGCAGCTCCACAGAAAATTTAAAGGGACAAGAAAATAGGGAATCAAGGGGCCTAGAGCTTGAGCACTGTCCTTCAGGTACTTACGTGCAGGACGAGCGTGCTGCGCGTCACCCGGTCCACTGGCTTGTATAACAGAGCTGGGAACAGAGAGCAGGAACATGAGAAAAGGAGCCACTTCAGTACAGCCCCCACCAAGCCACCTGCCCAGTGCAACTCAACACATGGGTGGAGGTTTAGTGCTAACGAGCTACTAGAAAATTAGGAAATTCTCGATGGTTAGTGTGCTCCACAGGCAAGGAAGCACAGAGGAGTGCACAGAGGAAACACAGATGCTCCTGTGTGAGCGTGTCCAGTGCAAGGGCAAGTGAGGGGCTCACGAGGTGGCAGGGAAGGACTGCACAGCCCAGCACCTCCCTGGCACCCTGCCTGCTCCCACGGGTCAGCATCGGGCCCTGTGCTCTCCAAGTTGCCATGGAGGTTTGGAAAGGCTGGCAGCGCGTCCCTGCCTTCTGGAGTGCAGCAGGACACTGTCGGGTGCTTCTAAAACCTGACTACAGGCCAAAAAAGGAATGGAATTAGCTCTCATGTGAGTTGGGAAGGAAGAACCTTGGAACACGGGCTATCGTTTACTCTGTGCATGTATAAAGACAAGTACATGGGAACCTGATCTCAGCCAGGCTCACTAGGTGCTACCCTAAGGAAAAAAAATACATAAAAGTACTTTTAGGCTGACATTTGCACTGCCACTCTCCTAAGATCATGGCAATCCTGTGCTCAGCCTGTTGTTGCCCACAGGGCTTGCTCAGGTTTTAAGCTAGCCAGGGGCTCCTCACGCTTGCGTGCGCTTACGGTGCTCTGCCATGAGCAAACGAGAGCTGCCTCCCCAGGCAGAGCCAGGAGAGGCTCCATAACCTCCCGGCATTCATTTCAACAAAGGGGACGTGGAGGTTTTGGCAACAGCCCCCGCACAGTCCTGACAAACCACAGACTCCTCTGCATGATCACTCACTTTCCAAGGAATTTTTCGTCGTCTGATCTTTAGACTCCTTTGTGCTTCTAGCCTTTAGATTCTGAAAGAAAAAGAAAAGCCACACAGCAAAACATCAGTCAACTTGGAGTATCACGTATGAACTAAGAGACTCTCTGCTCCTCCAAGGGAGAGCCTGACCAGCACAGAGGAAAGTCCTATTGCTGGCCAAGGCAGTGAAGAAAAAATGTGCTTTTCTACTGGTAAAGCCACCACTGCTATGTCACGGAACCCACGCGTCTCTAATATAAAGCAAGTTTCTTAGGAGGGCATGTAACAAAGATGCAGCAACACAAGGAACCATCCACACAGGGAAGATGAAGTTGTTAATCACCTGCAGAGAAAGACAGGGCCATAAAGGCCTGGCCACTGTCACAGCATGTGTACACCACCAATAAATAAAGTAGAGGACAGGGAGTCTGCCCCCCTTATACCTGCCCAGAGCTGACTGACCTTGGACAAATCAGTTCTCTGTTCATGGCAGAAAAGGAGCAATAGCTGCGACTTTCGGCTTTGCACAGGCACCATGAGGCTCTGTGCATTAACATGCTGGAAGTGCGCTGAAGTCCTCAGCAGGACACAAACACAAATGCACCATCACTCCCAAAACAGTAGGTACTGTCAGGATTTCAGAATTACCCTTCAGGAAAAAGCAAAATGCAGGGATCACATTTACATGGAGCACTGGGGGACCTTAATCTCCATTCTGTTTCCTAGGGGCTACTGTAATACTATTGATATATTATTATTAATAAATGGAAAAGTCTATAGGATGGAGCTTAGCACTGAAAGAAAAGTAAGCGCTGGTGAAGCTACTTTACTAATGAGCTAGTACAACTGGAGGAGGGAAGTGGCCAGATAAAGAGGCAGAACCTGGGGAAAACCCTCAGGAAAGGAGGAAATGGAAACATTTGCACTCCTGAGTAGCACAGCAGATGCCAACAGGCTGGTCTCATTTCAGCACACAGAGGGAATGTTTTATTTCACCTTTCTCATGCAATTCTGAAGGACGTGCAATATTGTGTGTCCTCACTAACTCCCCCCTCCCTCCCAAATAAACGCCCCCAATATTATCCAGCTCTGATTATTTATCTGCTTGTTTTCAAGGACACCCGTGTGAAGTTCAGGTTTTCTTGGCAGCTGACTTCAAGATATACTCACTGCACTGCAAGGAGACCGGGCACTGTAGGCAGAACTGGGGGCCTGGGAAGCCTGAAGAAGCCTTCAAAGCGCTTTGGCACCGAGCGCTCTCCCCAAAGGAAGGAAATCAGAGCAGCCCAACACATAACATTAAAGATTATGCCTGACTCGCTTGCAGTTTTAAACAGAAGGCTTCCCAGTTTTGCCCTCTCCTCCTCTCCAAGCCGGCAAAGCCTGCAGCTCCCCTGACAGACCTAGTGCCAGCCATTAGGGTGGTCTTTTATATGAGACTCAGCATCCCCATTAGCCAGAGAAATACATCAGCTGCTCAAATTTGATTTTCCTTCTAGAAGCACATGAAGGCAGCCCAGCACTGGGAAGTTCAGAGCAGGGCTGGTTGTTACGGCAGGATTCCGGCGGCAGCGCCGCGTTGGTCCGAAGCGGCCGCTCGCGGTGCCGGGCGCCGCGCCGTTACCTCCGAGATCTCGGCAAACTGCGCGTTGGCCTGGCAGCACTTCTCGGCCGTCTCCATGGCCACCTCGTAGTTATCCACGAAGGCCCGGTACACTCCCAGCTGGCTGGCCTGCGGGAAGCAAAGCGGAACGCGTGAGCGCTGGGGAAGACGACGGCTTGGGACGGCCAGCCGGAGGGTGTAACAATCAGACCGTGCTCCTTCAGCCCGGGGAACCTCAGGGAGTGCTGAGCAGGGCCGGAAACACGGCTCTGGCCCGACAGCTTTGCTTAAACTGAAGCAGGTGCTGCCATGCATCCAGCTCCATCCACCCTGGACAAGTTCACTTTACCGGCCTGGGAGGATGACACATCCTTATTACTGCCATCTATTTTTCCCTTCCGGACTGCCTGATTAGTATCTATTAATATTTTAGCTCTTGGATGTAATAGGAGCTGCTGGTTATTTGCCACAAAACATGAATCAGACAGGAATGATTCAGCCCTAGCAGCACAAATGTGACCCCAGCTACTTGTTGGCTTCTGTGTGCATGGGGGAACGTGGTAAAACAAACCCAGATCCTAACCTGTATCTGCATTAGCAAACACCATTATAAGGGCAGGAGAGCGCTGCAAATACCGAAGGGAGAGTGAGAGCCTGGTCTGTCTGCTCGGAAGGCAGGGGCTGCAGCAGCAAACGGCCTGGCTTTCCCAGCAGGAGGAATATGCCTCGGTCCAGATGAAGACATAGCAGGCCTCAGAGTCCAGCAATAAGCCATTATTAATCATCGGGTCTTAGCACTGATCCTGTTTGCTGACTTTTGCATTGCAGCCATATTCATGCCAGAGAACATAAGATCCAGCTTGGGAAATCCCTGGGATGCTTCCAAGCCCGTCTGGATTGTAGGGCGGTTTTTGTGTTGCAGAGCTGTAGACACCTCGGCAGCTGAGCGTGCTCCCAGCGCGTGCCCAGCAGCGCTGCAAAGGGCAACACTAAAACACAGCTTTCCCCCAGAAAAACTTGCCAGCTCCCTTCTTCCAGAGCTCTGGCCCCAAGACGATGGGAGAAAGGAGGCCATTCTCAGGAGAACATTCCCTGCACAATTTCTCCAGCTAACAGAGGCAAAAGAACAGCAAGCTATTGCCCAGGGCATATTTTACAGAAAGATTAGGAATTAATCTCAACCCTCGTGCAAAATGACACGGTCGGGGCAAAGTCAAATGGTGCTCACTTATGCCAGGGATGATCTGGCCCCAGCAGAGTGGAGAGAATGAAATCTGGAGCTGCCACGGGGCACCATTCCCTGCAGAAGCAGCTGTCAGAATTACTGCTCGTTTGCAGGGCTTAGGACATCCGTGCTCGGCTGATGCCAGCAACACAGCAAAGCTCCAGAGCTTCTCTGTTCCTGTGTGTTTTTTTCATTTCTTAGTACTCCTAAACAGTCTATCTAAGCTTTCGCTCTCCTTTTCTAAGCATGCTGTTGCAAAAACATTTTCCATTAAAAAAGGAGCAATAAAGTTTACAGAGAATTCTAATGCTGGTTTAAGTTTTTCCTTTCTCTTTTAAAAAGGACACACGGAAAAGCAAAAGAGCTTTGATTAAAAAAGCGGTTTTCAGTTAAAAAGAAAAAAAGTATTTGCTGTTTCTGAAAACTATTAGTGATAATATTTTTTGTTTTGTTAAATATTTCTTCACTCCTAAGGAACTAAAGTGCTTCTTTCCTGATTAAAAAAAATATATATTTTTCAAAAGACTTCACAAAAGTGAAAAGCATATTTCATCCCATTACTGATGTTTTCCCATCTTCCCCACTGCCCTTTACACTCCCCTTAGTTACACTTGGAAAAACATGGACTACCCGTCACCGACATGACAAATGGCTCATTTTTCTTGGAAGATCACAGGCAGTTCTGAAACTCCTTCGTTCACTGTCTTCAACTTCCATCTACAGTGCTTTGCTTTACAAGATATTAAAGAAAATTATTGCTTCCAGGGACCTCGGGATAATAACAAGGATTCCAGAGTTTATCATCAGATTGCATGACATGACCAGCAGTAAACAAGTCTGCTCCAAAGTATTTGATGAACATCCTGTCTAGATGCCTCCTAATGCCTGGTGCTTTTGCTGTCTCTCACATCTAGCTGCTTCCAGCTGCCTGCAGGAACGATTAGCTCTATCTCATCTAGCAACGAGTTCACAACTCCCACTGGTACTGTACCAAACCACCAGAAACAGGCTGCTAAGGTAGCTCAGAACTGCCTGTAGTAAGGTGATTTGCTTCTTTGCCTCCAACACTAAGCCATCAAAACTATTCTTTCTGTTAAAAAGAAAAAAAAAATCTGGGAACACAAAATAAGAGTGCCAGAAGAGCCTGATGCCTAGACCTGTGATCCCCATCAGCAAAGAAGTCTTAAATAAAGGCCTTAGTAGTAGTACAGTGAGTCAAAGCTTGCTTGGAAGCCAGAAGCAGTACGGAACATATCTTCTTCAATTAGTGCTACGTTCGTTATTGCCCTATCATTTCAGTGCAGTCAAGTTTCCACTTTCAGCAATCTTCTGCATTTTGGCTTCAGCAACCAGCAGCAGGTGGATTTGTCTTTGTAAACTGGTTGCTCAAATTGCACACCAGGAGCTACTCACTAAGGCACCAGCTTCACCCCCTCCGGACTAAAATATGCTGGCAGTGAAAGGCAGGCTCCATAGCTGGATCTTGAGCTGCTGGTTCGCATGGAAATCATCATCCTCCAGGCCCATCTCCCCCTCCATAGGGGATGAAGGGACGCTGGGCTACACAGCTGCTAACAATTGAGTGACCCTGATAAAATGCACTCCCTATCCAATAAACCCCACACTGGAATGTCACTCCTGTCCTGAGAATTGGAGGCACCTCAGGAATGCAGAGATTCTTTTATTTTCTAAAAGGAAAAAGCAGCTCCTTTAATCCTTTGCTTTCTGCACACACTAGGGGAGAGGCTAAGGGGGGGCAAAGGAATCTCCTAGAATGCAAACAATTTGTCATCTGGCTCAGAAACTCAGCAATTTGAATTCAGCCTCGGGAAGATGCTTTATATGTCTTTGTCCTGTTCTGCACTCAGAGGATTTTGCTGAAATTGCTTGGAGGAGCCTCAGCAAAAGATTCACCGCATCAGCACAGCGGCAGGAGGAACATCAAGGCCAAGATGGTGGTAGGAAGACAAAGCCAAAGGTGATGACCATAAAAGAGAAAAGAAGCAGTTCAAGGTAGAGCAAAACACCACAGAGAGAAGGTGAATGCACAAGAGGGAGCTCAGCAAAGAGGAGAAACACTTTGCTGCCAGTATTAAAAAACACCCTTTTAACACCACCTTCCTCTCAAGCAAATGGCTTGATGACAGTGCAGACACCCTGGAGATTGGGGCTTTCTGTAAAACGATGTTTGTATTACTGGCCTAGTCTCAACGGAGCCTTTAATTAAAGGCAATGAAACGGCTGCTTTTGCCCTTCACGGCAGTGAGGCAAAGCCAGGAGGCTGCTGTCTCACCCAGCCCCAGGCTTTCCTCCCCTCAGCCTACGCAGCGACTGGCGGGAGGCGCAGCAGCACCGCGGAAACGCTCGAGAGCTGCGAGGAGCTTTGGCGACGCCGCCCCGCTCACCAGCTTTTGGAAGAGGTCCCCGACACGCTGCTGATGGCTCCACTGCTGCACTCGTGGAAAGAGCCCATCGTAGAACTCTTTGTGGATCTCGTAGAGCTCAGGCACTTTGAAGAATATGGTCTCGATCTGCTGGCTAGTCAGCACAGGCTGGGAAGTGGTGGCAGCTGCTTTCAAAGGCTTCATAGGCTAAAACAAGGAATCAAGGAAATTGTTACCATGCAAACCAAGTACAATCACCCCGGCCACGTCATAACATATCCCTCTGAAGAGTTGTTTTTCATCCAATTAATCAGCAAAATTTGCATTCACACAACTCCCAAAAGTGAGACATGAACAAATGTTCTCATGGGGATCAGGCACCCAAGGTTTGTGGATTTTCCTAGGCCATTAATGGTGTGATTAAAATCCCTTTGCACTGTGTTTCCTTAATCTCCATCCAAGTGATAATTATCACAGGATACTGAGAGACTGGGCTCCTGGATGCACAAAAAACATCTTGGGTGAGCCAGATCCAGGCCTTTCCTTAGGCCTCTCCTTTTCCAACGGGAACAACAGGCACCACTGCACACGGAGACCAAGAGGCAACCGGGAAGTCCTGGGAATTGCTGAAGCCGAGTGTTCAGGACGGCACCCGCTGCCTGCACTTACCAGCAGCAGAGCTTCCAGGTGGCTCAGGTAGGTCTCCTCACTAGCCAGGATTCCCGACAGGACCCATTTTCTCATCTCCAAGCCTTTCTCCAAGTCTGGTTCACTCTATGGAGAGATTGTTAGAAATAAAACAAACCCCTGAAAGTGCACCACAGCCATCTTGGTTATTTAATTTACTTGCAAAGAAAGTGCTCAGTGCCCAGTTTCTGCAAATATATATAGTGATAAAACCATTCTGACAGATTTTTATTCACCAGCAACTGATGCCACTTAGCAAGCAACTCACAGCTTTAGTCACCCAATGCTGGTGCCTCAGTTAGATTCCCAGACTCCACATGCAACTGAAAATTCAAGACTTCAAAATTCAGACCTTACTCCTCCTACTCAGCTCTTGGGGACCTTTGGTTAGGTGCTATTCACTCCCTCCACCCCAGCAGCTCTCCATGATCGTGCTCCAAGGCTGCATGTTTCTCTGTGCAGAGCTTTCCGTACAGAGGTGATGGACACAAAACAACTCCGGCTCAGTGCTGCTGTACGACGCTGTTCTTTCTCCCACTCCCTACTACTGTGTTTCTCTGTGCAGAGTTTTCCATACAGAGGTGACGGACACAAAACAACTCCAGCTCAGTGCTGTTCTTTCTCCCACTCCCTACTACTCACTAAGGCGTTTTCAGTGCCCTCTTGCACCACGTTTAATTTTAGTCTGTGGCTGGAAGAATCAGCCCTGCTTGGAAAGCACGTGCTGATTTTCTTACTGAGCCTCCATGAGGCACTACTTCACCAAAACAGCTGAAGGAAGAGAGAGAAAAAAATACATCCATGGGCAAGTGTGTACACTGGGGAAGATTAAAATTTAGTGTTAAGAGAAGCAGTAACTCTTCTGCTAGTTTCAATTCCCCTTCCTCTTAATGGCATTTCCTGAAAAGAATATTTAACCTGATAAAGTGGAATTAAATATTTCTATAAGGTTGGGGAAAAAAAAGTGCCCAACCAGCAAAGCTTATAAGTAATCAAAACCATCCTACTTTTACAGAGTCTTATTTCCAGGTCTTTTTATTTCTCTAATGCACAGAAGGGTCTTTTTCTAATTCCTTTAACCTTATTAGACTGTTGAGTGTCATTGAGAGGAGAGTCAATAGTTAGATCTGAAAAAAGCAAACACTTTCCAAGGGCTCTGGGTAGGCTGTCTGGGGCTCCCGCTCCTCCTGTTAATATTCAGAGGAATCTTTGGCTATTGATTTCAGCAGCAGGAGGATTAGGAAGCATAACACTATGCTCCACTCCATTGGCTGAGCATAAAGCCCTTCTAGAGCTGATAAAAAATCCCATTTAGTTACGTTCCTACGCTCTGAACCCCGCGGATGTATGTATGAGGCTCATTATGGAGGGAGAGAGCTTCTCCATAGGTAATGCTTCCAGCAACTACAGCATTCGGAGCCCACACGCCGCACTAAGAACGAAACGGAGCCTCACGCTTCCAGATATTTTGGGATTCAGGCTCATCAATAACCGCCCTGATTTCTCAACGCTTTCATTAAATTGCACAAGCTATTTTCTAGTCTAAAAGGCTTTGCGGCAGCTACTTTATAAAAATTGCGTAAGGTGTCAAATACCACCAACACCTCTCAAATGCAAGTGGCAGACAGAAGCTGTTCTAAGGAAACGAATAAAATTTACACCCCAGTCAGGTAGGACATGGAAGCCTCCTTCAGGGAGGCTCAGTAAGCCGCACAGCACTTTTTAAATTCTGAAAGGGCATCTCAAAGGAAGCAGGTGCTTGGAATTCAACAGTCACAGACAGAATATATGAAAAAATAAAAGAGAGGAAAAGAAAAATCACACCGCCTGTGATAAACTACCTGGTAAAACGACAGCCGCAGCAGACCCTGCGTGCCTACCATGTACCAGGACTGTGACTGTTCCTTAAGATCTCTGCACAAAGAGTGCCTGGACGTGCAACACACGGACCATTTGCCAGGCACGCTGTAAACACGTAACCACCAAAGCCGGCCCCAAGATGTTCAACAAAGATTTCTTTCAGCTGAAGAGGCTCAGACGTGGCCGCCGGTGCATGAAGCTCCCAGCAGTCCTGGTGCAAGGAAAACACAGCGCTTCTTGGTTTCCAAACATTTCTTACAACATTTACGAAAGGAAAATGTTGCTTTACAAAGCTTTGCTTTACAAAGAAGCACTAAGAAAAAGGACTGGCGCTGTGAAGTGCCTGCTGCTGAGCCGGTGTCACTGGTCAATATTGACACAGCTCCACCACCGTCTCTAGCAGCTTCTCTTGGAGGAAGTGAGGATTTAAAAACCATCCGGGTACATTTGTAACATCTGTAAAGTGCAGCACACAACGGCAAGTCATTTAAATGATTCAAACTTCCCTATCACGACTGCGACAACAGCTCTCCTCTTTGCAAATCAAAGCTGTAATTTACAAGCCAGTTCTCACTGGGCAGCCTCAGCTGACAGAGGCAGCGCCGTCTGCCTGGATGCTGATTTTCTTTCTTTAAGGGATCTGCTTTCAGAGAGAGAAACAGCTTTGAGGAGACCCTAGGGACCTTCCCTCCTGGCTGTCAGCAGCAAGGTCACTTTGGGGAGCCCACAGTGTCATTTTAACCCTTTTTATAGGTTCTCAGTACGATGCTTGGAGAACCCGTAGCCTGGGAGCGAGCCGGGCAGAGCACAGAGGCTGCTTTAAGCAATGCAGCAGCAGGTGCTGAAGGGACCCTCGGGGAGGTATCCTGCAATCACGGAGCACGTAGCGAGGTTTCCAGCGCTCAGATTTACACACAGCTTCCTCACATGTAGGACGAGGCGCTTGTGCTGCTCCTGCTGCGCCTGGGATCGCGACCGCTCCGCGTTTCCTCCACGGCCGGCCCTTTCTCGACACTTTACCGGGGCGCCGGGCGGCCGCGCCCGCTGCCACATGAACTCCCGGAGCGCGGCCGCGCGCGGCTGCCGTTGCCACAGGGTGCTCTCTGGGCCACGCTTGCTAGGAAACTCACTCCAGCACTGAGAAAGTCGCTGGAAGCTGGTACCAACGCTGGGAAGCCGAGCAGCGAGTTGCTGTTCTGTATTACAACACTTCCCACTTGCAGGCTTGGGAAGAGGCTCAACTGTCCGCCCCAAGCGACAATTAGCAGGCAAAGACCCCGCGCTGCTGCCCTCCATGCCCGATCCTGCCCGGACACGACACAGCCAGCGCCAAGGGCACCTCTGCCCTGTCCCTAACACACGTGACAAGAAGAGGAAAGGAGCAGCCAGGCCATGACCGCAGCAGCTTCCCAGGCTGCTCCGTTTCTGAGGCAAGCGGGACCACGTCGGGGCCGGGCTGGCGCAGGGAGAGCCGCATGGCCAGGCCCTCCCTGGCAGGAAGGAAGCGTCTGAAACCTCTGCGGCCAAGGGAGGAGCTGGTGCCACATCCACCAGGCCCCATTAACTACGGGAAAAACACACCTCGTAGCCGAGCGCGGCTGGGACGTTCCCAGCAGCAGGTGGGAGCAGCCGCCATTAGCAGAGGAGCTAAGGGGGTCAGGGGAACGCCAGCCTCCTGCCCGGCTCACGTAGCCACCTTTTCACTCGGATGACTCTGCCCATTTTTCACCTTCTGACTTTATCCCCACCACTCCGATAGCACCCATTTGTGGCCCTTCTCCATTCTTTTGGCTACCTCTTTGCCCATGTGCTTAGGAATAAATCACTATTACAAGACAACCTTGAGGCACCTGAGTAGCCCTATCAGTCACAGGAGCCCCATGGCCCCAGGCTAGAAACCAGTGCTCTGCTGGTGAAAAAAAGAAAAAAAAAATGTAGAAGAGAGAATGAAGAGAAGGCGGCCCCGAGCGCAAAATGAAGGCGTCTCACCTATAACGTACTGCTGTTTCCTCCTCACCTGGCTGCTGCTTCTTGCTTCCCAAGGAGTTAAAGCCCAAAGGACAGAGTCACAATCAAAGGGGCAATGTTGCAGGCTGACTCCAAGGCAGCCCGCGCGGTTAAAAGCACAGAAGGTGCTAGCGAGCGGGAGCACCTTCGCTGGCCCGCGGCCACGGCCACTCACCACATGTTTACAGCTTGTCACTCTAAGCACTTAGTTTACTAACCAGGTTGGCACGGCCTGTTGTGTTCAATTACTGCAAGCCCGGGATTCAGCGGCTCCGCAGATCACACAGACTCAGCTCTCCCTGATGCTGGATAAGGAACCCGGGGCTTTCTGGACTAATGGCAATGACTGCCAGTGCCAGAAGGACGCAGACTGAGCCGGCGGAAAGGCCAGCACGGCGGGGTACAAAGGCTCTTTAGCTCCGAGACCTTCCTAGGAACAGCGTGTTCAGCACTGCACAGAAAGCTGTTCCAGGAGACACTTCCCGTTAGGACGGCTTGCAGTCTCATGGAGAAGGTGACAGCCTGCAAAGGGGAAAACTGTTCTTTTCAACGTTTAAAGTGTAGATACCGCTGAAAGCTTCTGCCAAGCAGGCTGGGGGTGTCGTGTTGCCTATTGATACTGCATGGGGCACGCTCTGTGTTGAAGCAACCCTGCTCCACACAGGGCGGGAGCAGGGACAGGAGCCAGGGTTACGTTTTTCAGGCTGACACCGGAGCTCTGCTCAGGAAGGGCTGCCCAGCCCACCACAGTCCCGAGCTGCAGAAGTCGTCACATCTGCTGGGGGTGGTGAGATGGAGGCGGCGGAGATCCCGAGCGCAGCTAAGAGCTGCGCAAGTCCCAGCGACGCGCTGCACAACCCCAGGGCCGTAGCTCTGCAGGAGCCGCGCTGGAAGCAGCCTCAGCTGCCCTGGGCCCTTCTCCACCGAGCACCCGCTCCCTGCGCGGGCTCAACCTGGTGCAGCCGACGAGCGGGTCGGGAAAGGCCTCGCTCCCACCCTTCCCACTGCCAGAACCTCCCCACATGACGAGCAGCACCAACGGGGCCACCACGGCTGGGAAGTTTCCCAACACTCTCAGTCTCTTGAGCATGTAAGCAACAAGCTCCCCAACTCCAAACTCCTGGCCACGACAGGCCTCCTTTTGCGCTGCAAGTCACTAACTTGGCCAGCGGTCTCAGCAGCCTCCCGTGCCCCAGGCGGACAGAAGGCAGCTCTGCTCCTCTAACTCTCCAGCTATCTTCTTTCACCCTCAACAAAGGCAGAAGACAGACACATTCTCTCTTCCTTTTCCAAGGGCCTCAATACCTATTACAAATGTTGTCTCACTCTTCCCGAAGCTACCAATTCTATTATTTGGCAACCAATTGCCAAATAGTATTCGCAAGCCAGGATTCCAGGATTTTTGGAACACTCAATCACAGCAATTCTGCTGTTACCAAAAGCAAGCCTGAGGAAAATTAAATCACTTCCCCAGTTAAATAAACAAACGATTCATGCACCAGTGGCCTGTAGGCTTGCCTCAGAATGACAGCCAAAGTTTGGCAAAAACATTGGCTTTACGTCACGACATGCCCCAGCAGCTCAGCATGAGCTTCTGGAAGAGCCAGAAGAGGGGGTACAACATAGCTGGCTGCAAACATTCATTAAGGATCTTTACCACAGCAGTGACAAGCCAGGAGATGCTGAGATCCTGCATACACCCATACTGCTTATTTCCTTTTGGGGTGACAGGCAAATTAAGGCTGGTGCACCTCTTGTCACCCTCCTTAGACAGTCACAGATGGAGGCAATGGATGCGCAGCAGGTGGAATATGGATATCCACAACGTGGCCGGAGAGGTGCAGTTTGGAGTCAGGTCGGTTTACTTCGGTTTACTTAGGTGGTGCAGATAGGGCAATTGCAAGACAGATATCAAACGATAAGGATGTGGAAGGAGACCACAAACTCCACAGAGTCAACTGTGACCTCGCGGCCCTTGTCCCGGGAAGTCAGTCCCTGAACCTCACACACACTGTGATGCTCCTCGGGGGTGGCCCGGGAGCTCTCCCTTCGCTGCTTTTGGAGGAGGGCGCTGCTCTTCCCAGCCCAGCACGCGCAGCAGACACGGCCCTGACACGCTGTCCAACCAAGCTGCTGTCAGGAGGCAGAACTTGACCACACATTTGGCAGAAAAACGCCAAGCCCCAAGCAAGCCCACAAAATAAGTCAAAGGAAAATGCCCTCAGTATCCAGACAGCGACAGCCTGCAAGGGGAAGGCTGGTCTCACGGATCATGCAGATGCACATCACTTTGGAAAACCTCCTTCTGCTACACAGTGTCTGTGTGACATTAAGAGAATCAATTAAAACCACATCAAAAAAAAAAATCACTGTTAGCACGTTTTTC